TGTGGCTGTTTGGAAGTCACGATCTTCTTTGATTGCATCCATATTCGAACGCCACTTTGGTGTCATGCTCTGCAACACCTTCCTCACGAGTTCCCGGTTGGTGTAGAACCTTCCTGAGAAGATTTAAGGGATTGATAATTTTGGGAATCTCTAAAACATATCCTCAATCTTCTCATTCTCCTTCATGGAGAACAACTCATACTCATGGGTAAGTTGGTCGATCTGCGTCTCTCTAACTTGGACGGTTCATTCATAGGTAATTTCCAACTTCTCCCACATTTGCTTTGCGGTCTCACATTGTGAAATCTTGCGGTAGTCAATCATGTTAACGCCACAATAAATCATGTTTTTTTGCTTTAGCGTTGAGCTCCATCTGCAATCTTTGTCGGTGTACTCCTCTTCGATTTTAGGAACGTTGATTTCTCCCATTCTTTCCCTAGGAACACCGCATCCATTCTTTACAATCAACCAAAATTTATAGTCATTAGGTTGCATGAAGATCCTCATCCTCTCCTTCCAATAGGAGTAGTTGGTTCCATCAAACAAGGGTGACCTTGTTGTGGATTGACCTTCGCTAACTCATGCGTTAAACATTCTAGATGCAATAGATCTTTTAATTCTTAAAAAATTTAAAATGTATTCAAAGAATTTCCTTGTCCAAAATTGTTAGACAAGGAATGCATACTGGAACAAAGTAAAATAAAGTGTAAATTGCAGGAACAAAGTAAAGAGTAGAGAGGAAGAAGAACACCGCGATGTATACTGGTTCACCACGTCGTGGATAGTCCAGTCCTCCGAGAGACTCTCTCAAAGGTCCTACTAATCTTCAAGCTTCAACGGGTGCTTGGAAAACCTTTTACAACTTGAGAACTTGAATCCCACAAGCCTCAACACTTACAAAAAAACTTGAGTCACACACGTCTTAGAAACCTCAAACTCAAAGGAAAATTTGACTTCTCAACAACACAAGAATGAAAAGCACACAAAAAGAGCAAATAGTATTTAAAGATGTAAGTTCTTATGGATGACAAAATATTTGCACTCAAGAATATATTTCTATACTCTCAAAAATATTAATCTTTAAGAAGATGATGATGGGGCAAGAGATATATAATCGGAGTGTTAAGAGTGCTTCAATTCCTATGTAGAATGAATGCGATAGGGGTTTATATAGATGTAGAAGGAATATGTCTGCTGGGGCAAGAGATAAGACTTTGGAGTTGTGCAACAGACATAAAAATTGATTTCACTAAGGCTGGAAATCGATTTTTAGTTCCTTAGAAGAGAATTGGAATATTGATTTTCTTACAATGAAGTATCGACTAAAATTGTCCGTGTAAAAATCCTTCTAGGGGGAAAGAGCTAATCGATTTTTCCAATAAGTGAAAAATTAATTTTTGATGCCTAGGAAGAAACTCTTTTGCGTATGAACTAAAAATCGATTTTGACAAAAAGGGATAATCGATTTTTCGGGCGAATAATGCACAAACATCATAAACACAAGCATGTGCGTGGGGATAAGGAATTTTTGTCAAATTCTTATTGTTCTTAACATAATCACATGAACAAGAGGCTCCCCCATCAACTCAATATTTATTCAAAAATAATTTCAATAATGGAGGGAGATTTTGAGTGTAGAAATGAGACCTAAAAATATTTTTTGTGTCAAACGATGCATAGAAAAAAAATTTTAAAGTATATTTTTCTTATCCAAAAAATATGTAGATTTTAAAAAATAATATTTTAAGAAAAGTTTGACACACTTCTTGTGACTGACTCAATAAAGATATTCTTTAATTAGAGAAAATTTTATTTTTCAACTGACTTAATAAAAAATATAATTTGTATGTATTTTCCTCAAAATTAGTTTGTTTGAGTGAAATAATATTTTGTCATCCTTACTAATTTTCTAAGACTCAAATAAAAATAAAAGGTCATCGGAAATCTTTACTTGACTTCAAAGACTGCCTAGGGAATTAACGTTTATCGAACACTTCTTATTTCTTGATAGGCTTCTTTGCTTTCTTGATCCAATTTGTTACAAAACCATTTGTCGATGTGTTTGTCATTTATGAAAAACTGAAAAAGAATAACAACACAAAGAAAATATCTAAAGGGGTTTGAACTCATGTCTCACAAAAATTCTAGTTCAAGGTGTCCAATAATGAGGTAGAGTATGAGGCCTTGCAGTGCGGACTCAGGATTGTTGCAAACCTGAAGGCGGAATACGTTAGAATCAGATGCAATTCGTGTCTAGCCGTTGGCCAAAACAAAGGGGACTTCGAAAGTAGGGAAGAGAGAATATGGTTGTATAAGGAGGCAGTCATGGAGTTACTCAAACTCTTTAAAGGCCACGAGATTTTCCAAGTCCCAAGGGTGGAAAACAAAGAGGCCGATATCCTCTCCAAATTAAGCAAAGATAGCCCCAAACACATCTCCAAGATGGCTCACATGAAGGAACTCCGCTCCCCAAGCATAAATGCCCAACCCGTGATGATCGAGGATGAGGCGGCCGACTCGATCATAGATCTAGTTAGATACAAGGAACAAGGCGTTCTGCCAGGAGATGAAACAAACTCCCAACTGAGCAAGAGGAGGGCGCCGAGTAATGTCATCAAAAATGCCAAGCTATACAAAAGCTGTCGAGCGTGACAAAAAATGCAAAGTGTGCATACAGCTTTAAACTATTGCTGGCCGGCCTGGGTCAAGTTATAATCCCATTAGTTCATCCATTCCTTTTTCCTATTGGGGAATATACCTGACCGACCTCATTCCCAAAACAACTGGATACTTTTGTTGGATCACCGACGCGATGGATTACTTCACCAAGTGGGTACAACTGGAACCACTGGTGTGGGGAACAGATAAACAATGCTGGAAGTTTGTAACAAAGAACATATACTCAGTTAATATGGCGTCCCGAGGTAGATCACGACAGACAATGGCACCCAGTTCGAGGTAGAGGAGTTGAATGAACATTTGAAAAATTGGGGGATAACACATAACTACAGCTCAAGGAAGTGGCCAGGTGGAGAACGCTAACAGAACGATCATGGATGGAATTAAGAAGAGATTGGAGGTATACAAAGGCGCTTAGGTGAACCTAGTCCCAAACATACTCTGGGGATATAGGACAACGCCTAGAAGGGTGACTGGAGAGACTCCATTCTCTATGTGCTACGGGTTTGAAGCTAGAGTAACACCCTAAATGATCATACCCAGTCATAGGGAAGAAGTCTAAGATCCCAGACATAATGGTTAAAACATGGCGATTGACCCTCATTTCCTTGAAGAACCCAGGGAGAGGGCTTTCCTCAAAGCCAAAAATTATCAAAGGCAAGTAAAAGAATATTACGATTATAGTCCGACCAAGAGAATTTCAAGTCGAAGACTTAGTTTTACAAAAGAGAGAAGCCAACCAACTAACGAAATGTGGGAAATTTGCCGAAAGCTATGAGGATCATATTGGGTCATCACCGTTCTCCAACTTGGCACATACAAGCAAAACACCTTGGAGGGACGGGAGTTGGGAAGACAAAGGAACACCCATAACATGATTACTTTATATACATAATAAATTGAGAACCGTAAATAGTCGGCTTCAATCCCAGCTTTGTCCTTAAAATTTTATACGTTTCCACTCATTCACGCTCTTATGAATTTCATCGATAATGTAATACCCCGTATCAAGATGGGAATGAGAAGAGCTCAAAAGGATTGATAGTACTACTCATACCAACAAGGTGCATCTTCTTTTCGAGAGCTCATCACCTAGAAACTCCAAGGTTAAACGTGCTTGACCTGGAGCAATTCTAGGATGGGTGACCCCCTGGGAAGTTTTCCTTGGGCGCGCACGAGTGAGGACAAAGTGTGCGGGAAAGACTTGTGTTGGTTTGTGGGGACAGTCTACAATCCTATGAGCGAACACTTACGGCCAGGGTGGGGGCCGGGGTGTTACAGATAAAAACATACGCTTTAACAAGTTCATGCTCCCACGCATCTTATATACGCTTCCATGCGTCTTATACACTTTCACGTATTTAGGCTTCCACGCATCTTGTCTACACTCTCGCGCATTGTCGAGCCACCTTTCTGCTTGACGGAAAGCACGAGANAGTCCATCCACGATGGTCAGCCGAGGATTAGGTGCTCTAAACAAGGTGAAGAGTGGGGTCCTTCTTAGGGAACAACTCGCTTAAGTCGTACTTAGTACATTAATCTAATGCAAAGTCCTCCTTAGGACAAAGATTTGAAAAGTCCCACAAAAGATTTACTTGGGGCATGATAGCCTACAAAATTAGAAAAAAAGACCACAAAGAGAAACGAATTGCATTACAAAGATGATAAGATGCAAAGTGTCAAGTACAAGATTACGATCAATGCTACATCCGTGGATGAACAGACTCCATCTTCTTGTTCAAACACATCAAAGGAAACCGCGGTAACTCTAAAGTGACTGGAATCAATAGAAGAAATCTCATGGTCCAGGCCTTCTAACTATCCAACCTCATCTCGCCCTTCCCTCAATTTTTTACAATGGACATGCATAAAACCCCTAAGATAAGCTCGAATGTTAATTCCAAATATTCTTAGAAGGTGACCTAATGTCATCTTCCTTGGAGAAGTTTTAGGAGCCAAGGTGGGATGGCCTTGAACCAAAGTTTGGGAAGAAGAAGGATTAGGGGGCATACCTTGCCTACCAACTACAGATAGTGTAGTGGGATAACTTGGAGACATCAACCCCACCATTAAAAAAGTGCATATAGGGGTGGCGTGCTTAGAGGGTGTTTTCTCCTCACATGAAGGAGTTTGGAGAATGAACATGGTTAAGATAAGAAAACTAAGGAAGAACATGAATCTTATAGTTAGGTGAAGTAATTGCACATTAATTGCATTCAAAGGTCAAACTCTTAAAAAGCACAACTCCTAGGAAATTACAACTGTTGGAAACTACAAAGCCTAGCGCATGACGACACAGTACACGAATTTACTGAACTACTAGGCTATTGGATACAGTACAATGAAAGTCCTATTCATGTTACGAATGTGTAACTATCCCGAGCCTAAGTTAGCCTCCCAAGCTATATTATGAGAATGTTTCTCCAAGGCAGGCGCTAAGGTTGGTGGAAGGAACTCATTTCTTAAATGAACTATAAAGAGTAGGCTGCCTTTTATTTTAACAGATAGCCTATATTCTTAGGGCAGGCTCGACCCTTGAGATTTTTAATGGCTACTTTTCACCACCTCGGAAAAAAATTGGATTATCTTTATTGCATGGCGCGACTGGCGGTACATGCCACCCAGATTGATTTGGCATAACAGCCACAATTTGCTCCATATGATGAATTCGCTCTTCCAACTTTTTTGTCTGAACTCACAACAGCAGGGGAGGGGGCGCATCTTTTTGAATAGAGTCAAGCGCATCGTTTAGACTAGATTCCATTAAAGGCGGGACCGGAAGAACGCTAAGGGGCTGATCTGCCCTTAGATGCAAAGAGAGCTATGGAACTTAAGCAACAATGGGCAAGGAAAAGAAATGAAGTCCCCGCCCAATTTATAGGAGAGGGGGGGGGGAATGTGAATAGGTGGATATGTGAAGAGACTTAAAGACATTCATACATTTAATGCAATTTAAATCAAAGCAGTTGAAAGATGGAACGAGGAAAAACTAACAAATATTAAATTAATCCGATTCAAACATCGAAAGCACGAAATAAAGTGTTTACAAATCCAAAGTGAATACTAACAAATACAACAAGAAAAGTCTAGTCTACATCAACCCTTGCGATGAGTTTAAAGAAACAGTTGTTCAAGACTTCACACAACGTCTCCCTAGCCTTTTTTAAAAATTTGGAGTAACCTTCACCAGTAGCGCTATAAATCTCGCATCCATGTTGTATCATGCATCTACTTTGGGACCTCATCAGGGGCAGCGTAGCAGCAAGGCATCTGCATATGTTGTTCACTTCGATGATCTCGTTGAGGTAATGTAATAGATTAGTTTTCTTCTAAATGGTAACTTAGGTTCGTTTTAAACTCTTTCTTTTTAACAATGGTTTAATTTTACATTCATAAATTAGTGTTTTTCACTTGCAAATTATCGATGGTATGGGTGACCTAGGTCAAGGTCTCTGTGACCTTAGTGCTTCCGTGTATGGTTGAGTACCACATACCTTGTCGTACTGAGGTCATGGAGAAGGTAGTTGATTGCAAGGGGAGCTACTTCCTGTGGCCAAAGTCATTGGTGGGCCTTAGAAAAGTAAGAAGTTAACGTACTTTACCTTTTCTCATTTCACATAACTATTGTGTTATTTCACGCTTGGTTTTGTTTTTTTGGATATGCAGGCCCTAGTCCCACCCCTCGCCAGGGCATTGTTTCGTCAAGCAAACATTCTCCCATTATCGACAATCACCCCACTCCTCCCAGCTCTCCCATTTAGGACATTGTTGAGTGAAGTATGTACACCAACTTTTCATCAAAACTATAAATTTGATTAGTTTAAGTGTAAAACAATAAGAGTGATAGAAGATATTAAATGAGCACATTCTCCTTAATAATAATAATAATAATATAATCTTATTATTTATATTTTATAGCTAGTGGATTTATTCCATTGTGATATACTCCAATCGGTTAGTTAGTGGTTGAAGTAGATAAATCTTTTGTTTTTATATTATGTAAATCTTGTATTCATCAGAACAGTGTAGTCTTAGACTACGAGTGTAACTTTTCATTATTTAAGGTGATCTTATGCTAACCTTTGTGTCAATGAACCCATCATATTGTTTGCTCCAAAACATTTCCCAATCAAACTCACAAAGACAAACTTCCTTATATGGCGTCGCCGAGTCCAATCTACTCTTGTTGGGTGTGATCTCATTGGGTATGTTGATGGAACGGTTCGGGCTCGCGCTGCATGTTCCAAATCCAACCTTGCCTATATATCTTGGTATCGTTCACGTATCATGCGCAATATTGGAAAGGCCCGATTGTGATGTATTTTTTGTGTGTATGGTGATGATATCATCCTTACTAGGAGTCACCTTGAGGTTTTTTTTGCCTTTGTACTTCACTTATCTAGTATATGCTCTCTCAAGGATCTCGGTCTGTTGCATCACTTTTTTAGGTTTTAGGTTATTCCAATTCACGGGGTGTGTTTCTTTCTCAGTGGCAATACATTTCTAATATTTTTAAGACCAATAACATGGTGGAGCCTAAATCCATCACCACCTCGATATGCTCTACTGTGTTGATCCACTCTGCGGATGGCATTGCTCTATCGGACATTACGACATACGGCCATTGATTGGTTCTCTTAAATATCTGGCTATCACTCATCATAACGCAGCCTATGTTGTGCACAAGTTGTCTAAATATATGCATGCTCCCACGCTCACTCATTGGCAGGAGGCCAAACATATTCTTTTGTATTTGAAGGGAACTTTATCTCATGGTCTTTATCTCCAGCTTGGAGTTTCTGACGTACCCCAATCTTGCAAGGGTGTATACAGGGGCGGAGCCAAGTGGGAGCAAATGACTGCAATTGCAGTCACTCCCCACTTAGCTTTTTAATACTCCGTACTATATCACCTTTCATTTTGTTTCTCATCCAAGGCAGACGAACTACACAACAACACTATGTTTCTGGTTTTGGCTTTGAAAAGAAGAGCATTGTGATTTCAACATGTTAATGGTAATGATTGATTGAAGAAAATTGCAATGGATTTTTATTGAGCATGAAGTTTTATGTATATATATTATTGTAGATCATGTGTTCGACAAAATGCTTGTGAGACTGATTCTTATTTGAATGTCTCTGGTCTCTGATAAACGCTAGACCCGGATATCTTCTTCTACTTTGCACCCACTAGTGTTGGATCCTGGCTTTGCCACTGGGTGTATATATTATAATATATTGTCTTATTATATATATTTTGTAGCTAGCCGATTTATTCCTTTGTGATATACTCTAGTCGGTTAGTTAGTCGTCGTTGGAGTCGAGTCTTAGACTAGGAGTGTAACGAACTGTTCACTATTTGAGGTTAACTTATGTTAATAATAATCGTTCATTCCAGCATCCAATCCTTATACTCCCCACACATATCACGATATCTTTAAAAATGAAAGATCTAAGTAACTTATTTACGAATAGCTATTGTATTATCCTCTATATGCACATGCGTGTATATTATCATGTGTTCCATCCATACACAATCTAATAGAATAACTATAGAAGTAATTCACTTATTTATTTAGTTTTAGTTTTTTTATTATTATACTCCCTCCGTCCCAAAAAGTCTGTCACGTTTCGAAAAAATTGCGTCCCTTAAAGTCCGTCCCATTTATATTAAAAAACCATTTTTACCCCTTACTTTTTCATACCCTACCTATCACATCACATTTTTCCCCTAATAATCTACCTATCACATCTTACTTTTACCTATCACATCAAAAGTATTTTTGGAAAGTCAACACCAAAGTATCCCTCCTAATTTTACCACTTTAGTCAAAATGGGACAAACTTTTTGGGACGGAGGGAGTACCAAATTTATGAATATATTTTAGAGCCCGGTTCCGTAGCCACTGGATTCCAGTGCCCACGGAAGCCACTACCCCCTACGGAGCTCTGTTCATGAAATTGATGATTCATATCCCCTAAACCCCCCCGGTAAACCCCCCCGCCAATTAAGTCTCGATCCAAACTACTCCCCCCACCTACGTCAATTGGACCTCGTAAGTATAAAGTCAAAAATTTTGACTTTAAAGTCAATTATACTAACGAGGTGCAATTGATGTAGGTGGGGGAGTAGTTTGGGTCGAGACTTGGCGGGGGGTACGGTTTACCGGGGGGGTTTACCGGGGGGTTAGAGGGGTAAGAATCATCAATTTCATGAACGGAGCTCCGTAGGGGGTAGTGGCTTCCGTGGCCACTGGAATCCAGTGGCTACAGAACCGGGCTCTATATTTTATATAAAAGTATGAGGTAAAAACTACTCCCTCCGTCCCAAAGCAACAGTTACTATTTAACCTCTCGATAATTTCTGTTTGTATACTCATTTTGGTTGACCATTTGATAAAATAAAATGTTTTTGTCGCATCTTCGTTTGTATAACTTTTGGTCTATTTTTGAACGGTATAATTTTTTTTTCCTTCCAATTTGTAAATAAAATGTTTTTTAAAAGAGGTGATATTTTACACTTTATTTGATATGTTGTTTACATTTTGAGACGAGTGAGTAGGGTTTTTTTTGTAGAGGAGTTCTAGGGGAAAACCACTTGGGTACACCATATGTACATCATGCCCAAAATAGGCATGACACGGACACTTAGTGTCTATGCACGCACAGATACTATGTGTCTATTTATGCCTATCTATTTTAGATTTAGTATACATATACCCAAAGTGATTTCAGAAATTATTTTTCTTTTTTGTAACCGAAGTGGTGGAACCGTGGAAGACTGGTAGTTGATGGATCGACCAAAATATGAGTAGATAAATTATTGACACGATGCAATTATGCCTCTAATCAATGGGATGAGTTGCAACTTGCATGTGTGTGGCCCCTATATGTCGATTGTCACGAGCTTACTCACTACTAATATACTCCCTCCTCCGATAAAGAACATCTCAATCTTCTTTTTCAACCATGACGAAAACTTTTATTATTGTTATATTTTCACTAATTATTTAATAAAACAAAATATGATTGACAATTCTTATTTCAAAATTTTTTTTATGTAGTTTTTAAATATGTAAATTTTATTTTTTATTTTTATAACAATATTTAAATAAAATGAATTGAAAATACTTGATATTTTGCTTCATTTTGCAAAATGTGGCAAACATTTTGAAATGGAGGGAATAATTGTGAAAAAAAAGGATAGTATTTGTAAACATTAATAAAAAGTACTCTGTAATATGGAGTATTACTTTAATCCCTTCGTATTTAATCAGTTTTCGGGTTTTACAGTTAAAATTTAATTATAAGTCAAAGTCGATCATGATTAGTAAAAGGACAAAACTGGACAAAAATAATCAAAGATGGAGAGTATAAATGAATGGCATTATTGACCAAAACAAAGGGAAAAAAGTTTGACATTTTAAAAAAATGGTGAAATTTTTGACATAAAAGACGTGACATTTTTATGGTTCTCTGACTTCTGTCTCATTATCCGTTCTAATTAGTAATAACAAATAAGTACATGAGTGAATCACTTTTGTACATTTGTAAAAAGTATATCCGTCTTATTGAAAGAAAGGGAGTGCTTTTTTTTTGACAAATACCAAAACCTCATGGCAGTTTAATCGCTGCACTCATAAGTTTACCCATTTTAACCGGTGAAAAAGTATAAAAGTGGCATTTTTTACACTTTGGAAAAAATTACGGTGGTACAATTGAAAGACAAAAGGACTAAAGGAGTAAATTTTATTATTCGTTCTTCGAAAATGGGAGTTTCTATATTGAATTCGTTGTACAAAACAACAGTAATCAACAATAACTATGACTATGACTATATACTACGGTTGCCGTAGATATCGACTCCAATTGACCAATAACGCATCAGGGATGACCTCTCGCATTGGCTATGAACATAAAGATTTATAATCATTGTGAAATTACACTTTTAGCTATCAATTTAACATAAATGTGACCAATAGAATGTGAAGAAAAGATTATCCATGAAAAGATACTCATAAAAGGATTACAGGCGTAATATATATATATGTGATGGATATCGGGTCTGATCGACCCGACTCCAGGCCCAATAAAGGCCCACAATTGTGCAAAGTGGACAAGTCCAGATGCGAGTAATCGATCGAGCCCACCTAGGCGCATGCGAGCGATAAGACTGACGGCCCAATCATGGGCTGAATGGGGATAATCCAGTCCAAGAGAGAAAGAGGACACGTGGCCCATGCCACCAGATTGTGGGGGGAATGGGAAGAGAACGAGACCAGAAAGGAAGGAATCACAACTCCATGATCTCCATTATTCCTTCCATTAGGTGTAATGTTAATTGAGAAATTAGAAGTACTATAAAAGGGGAAAGAACCCGCCATTGTAAAGGGACGATCCCAGCAACTACATACTTAATTAAATAATATATTATTACGAGATTATATCTTTCTGGTTCATATTACGTTCTTGGTCCGCCATCTGATCAGGTTAATCCCATCATTGGTGCTTCCATTGAGAGTAACCCGTGAGATAAAGTTGTGAGATTATGGCCGGACGAAGGACGAGACGTAACACCGCCGCTTCCGCCTAGTCGACGGTGAGGAGTGACCACCCTGAACAAGGCATGATCTTTCCTGTCAATGGGCTGGAAACGGCGTTGAATAATGTGGCTAACATGATGGCCAACATTATGGAACGATTAGACCAGGCTCTCCCTGGCCCATCTGGCACCCGGGATGTCCCTGCCGGGCAACCCTGCTAGGTCCTGCGTACTGCGAGTTCTCCCATCCTCCAAGAGCTTCATGATCCGGAGGAGGTCGAGAGGGAGAGACAGGCCATCGCTAGGCGCTGGGCGGAGGAGATTGCTTGGAATAATCGGGCGAATGGGGACCGAACCAGGGCTATGAGTCAAGTCATAGGCAACGGAAACGAAAACCCGCGGGTGACAGTTTTTGAAAGGATATCTCACCAGAGGGCTCACGTTAGTGAGAGGCTGGGGAAGAATCCGGACAAAGCACCCCAAGGTTGGGTACGACCCCAGGCCAGCCAAATGGCATCCTCCAACCGCGAACCTCGGCAACGAGCCGGCCGCGGTGGGAGCCAAGCGCCTATACGGTCATTGGTGGTCTTGGACGAGGAGAAGTTCAAAGCCAAGTCAGGGTCCCAGCACCGCAACGTCTGGGGCCACCAGATCCAGGAGATGCAGAGGAAGATAAACAGGGGACGAGTATTCACTACCCGGACGAATACTTCGCTCGCCCCGGAGATCTTTGCGGAACCATATCCGCAGAGATTCAATATGCCGTTTGTTAAGTGTTATGATGGGGAATCGGATCCCCAAGAACACATAAATAGCTATGTCCAGGTGATGTGCCGATGCTTCTTGCAAACAGTGGATAGCAAGGTTGCGGATTGGGTGAATCACATTCCTGCCGGATCGATCCAGACATGGGATGAATTGGGATTGCGGTTCCTGGAACATTTTGCAGGGAACTGCCGTCCTAAGAAGCATTTCACTCACTTGGCTTCAGTGCGGCAGAAGCACGGGGAATCCTTGAAGAATTTCCTAACCCGATGGAGAAAAGAGTAAAGGGAGGTTGAAGGAACCGACGATAAATCCAGGTTAGCCATGTTCACGGCGGCATTGCAAGATGGTCTCCTTCATACCAATCTTACAACCCATCCCCCGGATACCTTTGAAGAAGCGATGGTCCGGGCCGGGAGGTATGTGACCTTGGAGGAAAGGAAGGAGGAAAAGAAAGAGAAGACTCCCAAAGAAGAAGAGAAGGCAGGAAACAAGAAGCCTTTCAAGAACAAGAAGCAGGGCTTCCCGGATGGCCCAAAGGGGACAAACCCTAGGACCTCGGAGAAGCACAAATCTGCCAATCCAGTCTTTACTTTACCGGTGGCTGAAGTCATGGCCCATGCTGCACAGCAGGGGTTAATGACATATCCAACCTATTCCTAGAAGGTCTGCAACGTGGAGGACACTGGAAAATGGTGTGCCTACCACCGCAAGAATGATCATAACACAAAAGACTGTTATACCTTGAAGAATGAGATGGCCAGGCTGATCCGCCAGGGCCATCTGAAGAAGTTCGTTCAAGATGGGGACGGGGGAAATCCCAGGAATGCTCAGAATGGGAAGCGTAGAGATGGGCAAGTGGCCCAGGCCGAAGCCCGGGAGAAGCGCCACATCGGGCTTGAAGATGAAGAGGAAGATTCAGAGGCCGCACCACACCGCCAGAAGAGACACCACGGGTGTAATTTCATCATTGGTGGGAATACTAGCGGAGACTCGGCCACAAGCTGGAAGAAGTGGGCCAACACGGCGATAGTCAATAAGGTGGTGGCCCCGGAAGGTAAGAAGCTGAAAACTGAGCCGATTGTATTTTCTAATGCTGATTTGCCAGAAATAGGTGTCCCCCATAGGGACGCCCTGGTGATTACGATCGATATAATGGACTTACTGATCCACAAGACTCTGGTGGATACGGGAAGTTCCGTTAACATCATGTATATGGATACTTACAAGGCTCTTGGTTTGACAAGAGATGAGTTGTTGCCCATTAAGACTCCTCTGACCGGGTTCAGAGGCGACTCTATTGAACCGGAGGGGGTAATAACCCTCCCGGTCGAGATAGGGGATACTAAGGCCACCCGGAAGTTGGACATGGAGTTCATTATAGTGGGGATAATCTCCAATACCAACATCATTCTGGGTAGACCCGGATTAGAAGATTTGGAGTGTGTCATCTCACCTCATCACCTATGCATAAAGTTCCCAACTCCCCATGGAGTTGGAATTGCCAGGGGATCCCAGAGGGTGTACCGGGCGTGGTATTTGAAGGCAACTAAACAGCCTATCAAATACGACACCCAAGTGGGGGAGGTGACCACACAGCTGTTAAGGGCTGAGGAGAGACGTCCCAGAGTAGAAGTTGCATGCGACATTGAGGAGGTTGAACTGGAGCCGGGCACGCCGGGAAGGTTGGTCAGAATTGGAAAGGACCTGGGGGATGAACTCAGGTCGTGGGTGATCTCTGTTCTTAGGAGGTTTAGGAAGGTCTTTGCATGGAGTCCAGCTGATATGCCAGGACTGGATCACAAGATTGCAGTCCATCGCCTCAATGTATTGCGGGATGCTAAACCGGTAAAATAGAAACGGAGGCATTTGTCGCAGGAAAGGAGAGACTTCGTGAAGAAGGAGGTAGCAACCCTGCAAAGCATTGGACACATCCGGGAGGTGCATTACCCGGATTGGTTGGCAAATGTAGTTCTGGCGCCTAAGCCTCCTTCGTGGAGAATGTGCGTCGACTACACGGGTTTGAACAAGGCATGCCCAATGGATCTGTTTCCTCTCCCTAATATTGACCACATGGTGGATGAGACTGCCGGATCGGAATTAATGAGTTTCATGGATGCTTTCAGTGGCTACCATCAGATTCGGATGCACCCGGCTGATGTGGAGAAGATGAGTTTTATGACCCCTGAGCTGTACTATTACTTGGTGATGGCATTTGGGCTGAGAAATTCCGGGGCGACGTATACCCGGATGGTTTCTCAGGTGTTCAAAGCCGTCCTGGGGCGGACCATGGAAGCTTATGTTGATGACATGATTGTCAAGTCCAAAGAGGCCCGAGACCACGTCCGGGACCTTGAGGAGGTCTTTGAAATCATGATGAAGGTAAATTTAAGATTGAATCCATGGGGAGTTCGAAGAAAAGGAAGAAAGAATGAAGAGATATCGAGATTTGTCTTTGGAAATGTTGGGAAGGTTCGAGTTTAAGCTTGAACACATACCCCGAGCACACAATGCGGAAGTTGATGTTCTGTCCAAGCTTAGCGCAGAATCACCAGAATATATAAGCAAATTAGCAACGGTGGAAGAGTTGGCAACCCCGAGTCTCAACAGGGACGACGTGCTCTGGGTATCAGCTGATCTTCCAGAATGGTTAGACAAGTTGGCCAGATACATTGAGGACGGCGTAGCCCCAGAAGATTCCCAAGAAGCACGTTTGCTGCGAATGAGGGCACCCACCTACAAGGTGCAGGATGGAATCCTTTATAAGCGGTCTTACAATGGTGTTTTACTCTGCTGTCTTAGGTTAGCTGAGGCAAAAGCGCTTGTGGAAGAAATACATGAAGTAGTATGTGCCGCACATCAAGGCTCATACTCTATATCCAGAAGGGCGATCATCCAGGGATATTTCTGGCCAACGATGAGGAAGGATTGTGAGGAGTATGTGCGCAAGTGCCCAACTTGTCAGTAGTTCCAGAATATGCCCGGAAGGCCGGCCACAAACTACACACCCATCAGTTTGGTAATCCCTTTCTCCAGGTGGGGAATCGACATTGTGGGCGCCCTGTCGAAAGGAGTTGGACAGGCAAGATGGATAGTGGTGGCCATAGATTATTTCACCAAGTGGGTAGAGGCTGAGCCACTTGCGGGGATCACAGGGAAGCAAATGATTGACTTCGTGGGAACCAGTATACTTTGTAGGTTTGGGGTCCCAAAGCAGATTATATCCGAAAATGGAACCCAGTTTGAGGAGACGGAGTTCCAGGATTTCCTCAAAACTTGGGGGATTAGCATACAAAGGTATATGTAGCCTATCCCCAGGTTAATGGTCAGGTGGAGAACGTCAACAGAACGATCATAAGCGGAATAAAGAAGAAGCTGATGTCAGAAGGAAGCAAGTGGGTGGATGAACTACCTAGAATCCTGTGGGCATACAGGACAACTCCAAGCAGGGCCACGGGTGACACTCCTTTTGGCCTAGCCTATGGGTTTGAAGCCCGGGCACCAGCTGAGACGGTGATCCCAACCAGGAGAGAGACAGAATATGACCCGGAAGTGAACGAACAAAATCAGGCTATAGAGCTGAACTTCGTAGAGGAACGAAGGGATGAAGCACGGATCCAGGCAGAGAATTACCGTCGCCAGGTAAAATCTTACTTTGATAGTAGGGTAAAACCGTGGGCGTTCCAGGTGGGGGATTACGTCCTGAGGAAGCGAGAAAAGAGTCAACCGACCAAGGGCGGAAAGTTGGCCAAAAAGTATGAAGGACCTTATATCATCAAGGCCGTTGTTCGCCCAGGTACCTACAAGTTGATGACTCCAAAAGGAAAGGAAATTGATAGGACGTGGAATGTAGAGCGTTCTACTTTTTGTTTAAGGCATTTATTTTAATGAATAATTTCTTTTCTCTAAAGCCAAGTGTCTTTTCAATTCCATTGTTCTTTAGATTTCTCAAAAAAAAGAGGGGGGGAGAACACCCCTGGGCGAAATAGACCCAAGTACAGGGAGGTAGATAAGTTTATGCCACCTGCTAAAGATAGGGGAGGTAGATAAGTTTATGCCCCCCGGAGGTAGATAAGTTTATGCCTCCGTAAACTATGAAGGAAGGGTTGGGATTCGACTTTGAGGGCCTTTACCACCTGGAATTCAGGAAGAACAGCAAACAGACTTCGAGGGCTGAAGCTTAGTATTCCACCAGCACAGATCAATCGAGCAAACAAACTTTGAGGGTTGGCGCTCAACTGATCCAAGGTAGATAAGATTATGCCTTAACCCGGAGGAACGGAGGTCAGGGGCAGATGAGGTTAGCTCCCATGGCACGTCCAAACCCTGGGAGATGAGATTTAATACAAAGAATTAAACATGTTTGTACTTGCATTAGATGATGTGCAAAGAAATAAACATAAAGGACTATATTGATGGGCCAAAGCTTACACCTTTGGTTCACAATAATGGTTTCTAATGAGATGAGAGAAACGAGAGGATAGGGAAGTTCATCGATTGTTAATTCGAAGGTTGTATCTTTGAATTACAACGATAATTCCTAATCTGAAATTAAAGGACATTCCTTGGTATGGGACGTGAGAAAAACTCCCTGACCAAACAAGTGAATGCCTCTTGAAATGAAACAAGAAAAAGAAAACTGATTTGCAGGGGGCTAGGCGCTGAAGGAGGGCCAATTGCACCCATGCAGTCAACAAGAAGGAGGTGGGGGCCCCCTCCATGGGCTCCTTCTCTTTGACGAAGGACACGCGGTGGAATCATCAGCTTCATCCATGTCATAGTCTTCCCACGTCCCAGGTCGGGGGGCAGGTGCTCCAAATGAAGAACCGTCATTGGGAGACTTTGGCAAGTTTGGAGAAGCTATCCGGCTTTCACGCGAAGGTTCTGCCTCAACAGTCGGAAAAGAACGCCCAAGTCTTAAAGCAGATAAAATTTTTGCTAAGTCCCAAAACGGGATAAAAGCCCCAAAAAGAGAACAGTTAGCTCAATGGAAGGAGTCTACAGGGATGTAAATACAAAAGAGACACTGGAAAAGGACAAAGTGCTACAAGCGTTACCAAGTTGCTACCCTTTAAATGTTACAAAATAAAATTACAACAATTGTTGGAGAGAAAGGAAATCAAGGCTCCTGATTGGCATGAGAATCTGGGGGAGGAAGAGGAAGAGGCAAGCCATAGTAGGAGATGAAGTCATCCAAGGACTGGTGGGCCGGGAGACCGCTCCGGATTGCCTCGTAGATGCAGTGTTGCATGTCAAATTTTCCATCTTCGTAAAGGGCCTCAGCCCGGGCGGTCAAGGCAGCCACCTCCTCTTGATGGGAAGCCATAGTCTTCTCCAGTTCTCCCATCTTTGACCGGAGCTCATTGGAAGTTTTCCTCTCCTTCTCCAATTTCTCGAGGGCAAGCCGTTTCGCCCCGATGTGTTTCAACATGAGATCGCTAAAATGGGCACCCTCTTGTTTCGACATGAGCTCATTGGCAGTTTCCCTTTCAACCAGTTCGGCTTTTAGACTCCCCACTTTGTCTTCTAAAGCTGAGGCCTTTGACTCAAGGCTCGAGATTTGTGCCCGGAGTTTGTCGAACTGCATTTCCAGATCCTCGGTCCCCTGTTGGTAGATAGCAATCTGCTCTTGTAGGGACTTGACCCTGGACCTTTCAGCCTTCAGTTCCGCCGAGCCATCTGCATTGACCTTGGCATTATCTTCCTGAAGGGCCTGGACTTGTTGTTCTAGGGAACCAACTCTCCGTTGTAGAGCCCTGGCGGCCAACTCCTTTTCCTTCAAGAGCACCATGGCCCGATAATTTCCCCATGCTCCACCCAGGTACTCCTCAATCAGGGTGAGGAGTGATTGTTGGGCCCGGAAAGGAGAGGGAGATGTCAAGAAAAGGGATAACTAAAAGAGAAATAAAGAGACTTTTGAAAGAGAAGAGTACCTGCTCCATGCAGTGTAAGGCATTGAGGGCAAGCAGGTCAGGGCCTGCCTGGGGGATTATGGGCTCCTGCACTAATTCCCTCATCTTCTCCAGGTTCGCCTGGATTGTCCAGTGGGAGTCCTGCAGGGAGTTCAAACCGCGAGAAAAACCTGCCCAACCCTCCTTAAAGGCAGGGTAGGTTTGTGGCGTGAACTTGCGCTGGATGGGGAGGTTGAAGGCTGGGGGTGTTGTGGCGGAACGCTGTTCCTCCGGTTCCTGCTGTTTCCCAACCTCTCTCTCCATCCCTAGGGAAGCTTCTGTCTTTTTCTGCCCTCCAACCTCTTTCTCCATCGCAGGGAAAGCATCCGGTTCCTTCTACCTCTCAGCTTCTTCCTCCACCCCTTGGGAAGTAGCTGCAGTTGGTGGGGAGGTATTTTTCACCGCAGACTAGGGCTGCACCGCTGGTCTTTTGAGTGCTGCCTGTTCAGGAAATTCATCTGCTTCACGATCCAGGCTATCCGGGTTGGGCAACTCCAGACCTCCGGATGCAGTAGCAGTGGTGGTATTCTGAGTACCAGAAGAGGCAATCAGGGGGCTGGGCGAAGCAAGAATACCATCACCTTTACTCTTCTTCGGGAGGAAGTCATCATCGGTGACCCCTTCCCGTGGCCGCCTCCGGGACGGTGTGGGCTTCCTTAGCCCAGGAATGGCAGAGATGGGAATGGCATCTAGGGCAGCTGACGGTTTGCAAATGGCCAAGGCAGTAGCGTTGCCTTGGGCCTGGTTCCTTGAGGAGCTCTCAGCTGGATGAGATTCCACTGCGGGAGAAGCCTTCGACCTTTCGGGGGAAGATACCCCTTCAAATGGGATGGGGACAGGACCAAGAGGGTAGTAGAAAACCGCCTTCTTGTACCACCTGGCGTCTTGAAGGGAGTGATGTGAAATCAGGCCCCCTCCTATCCCAAGGCGTTGAGTGCTGCCTCCGCCTGGGGTATGGCTGCGAACGGAGTCCGGGAGAGAGAACTCCGGCGTACTATACCTGACAAATCTATGGGGCTATGCACCGGGAACTCGATGACGAAGTAGCGGTAGGCCCACTTGTCAATTTTGGACTCAACCCTCTCAAAGACCGGAGATTGGGGATGAGGGAATAGACTATAATAAGGGAAAGCCCCACCGATGCTGAAAAGGACGAGGAATTCGTCTAGGGTTGGGGTTCTATCCAGGGCACAACACCGCAAGATGTAGGACCCGACATACTTGTGCGCATTCGCGGTCAGTTGACCAGGGGGAACCCAAAAGCCTGGCAGATGTCACGGACCAAACCATGGAGGGGCAATCTGAACCCATTCTCCACCGAATGGTAGTGCATGACCATATACTTCTGGGGGTCTGGATTATGAGATAGACTGATTCCTCCGACAGCATCAGGATGGTGGATCCGGAAGCCTCTACCCAGAAATTCGACCATTTCTCGAAGTTCATCCTCTTTGATGATAGAGGATTCGTGGACCCAAGTTGTGGGATCAGCGAAGGAGGCAATTTCGCAGAGAGAGATGAGGATTTGGGGGCAGTTGCTGTCGAAATTCGGGTCGGGTCAAGATTCGGCAATGGAAAAACAAGATGAGTCCAGAAGGGTTTGTATCCGTTGTAAGGAGGGACCCAAGGCACTCGAGTGCGACGTTTCTAATCCGACAAGAAAACCGAAGGCGGCTCATCATTAGTTTTCTAGCGACACGTCGCCAGAAAACTAGGGGGCTTGTGATGGATATCGGGTCTGATCGACCCGACTCTAGGCCCAATAAAGGCCCACAATTGTGCAAAGTGGACAAGTCCAGGTGCGAGTAATCGATCGAGCCCACCTAGGCGCATGCGAGCGATAAGACTGACGGTCCAATCATGGGCTGAATGGGGATAATCCAGTCCAAGAGAGAAAGAGGACACGTGGCCCATGCCACCAGATTGTGGGGGGAATGGGAAGAGAACGAGACCGGAAAGGAAGGAATCACAACTCCATGATCTCCATAATTCCTTCCATTAGGTGTAATGTTAATTGAGAAATTAGAAGTACTATAAAAGGGGAAAGAACCCGCCATTGTAAAGGGACGATCCCAGCAACTACATACTTAATTTAAGAATATATTATTACGAGATTATATCTTTCTGGTTCATATTACGTTCTTGGTCCGCCATCTGATCAGGTTAATCCCATCAATATGATAATAGAAATTTTTTAAGAAATACATGTTATAAAAGATCAATTATAGAATTTACTACAAAAAATGACAATTTGACAAAAATTGTAACACCCCAATTCGTATAACCCGGAATTATAGGAATTAAGGTGAAACAGGAGAAATATTTTTAAAACTTTTCTAAATTATTAAATTAAATTAATAAAACAAAAATTCAAATACAAAATACTAAATTCGGATCGATCCTTTTACAAAATGTCAGAGATAGCGGAATACTTAAAATAATACAAATACAATGATGTGGGTCAAACCCAATACTTCAAATGCAATGCTTGTGAAAATCATGCATGTTAACCTGCCATCCTATCGTCCCTTTGTCCTCCGGGTGGTTCACATAGTCTGTGCTTCAACCTACGTGTAGACAAAAAGACTACACGCTTAGCATAAAGCTCAGTGGTACGATAACGCGCGAGATCGATAACATATTTATACTTAAATACCATGCATCACATTGGTCACATACTTTTCATGCTTGCATAGTAGATAGCACAGGATACAAGAACACGTATACATATCATGGAGATTCATTTTGGAATATTATCCAAATATAAATACCTTCGCATTGTCATTGCCGATGTAGGATATGAAGTGTGGTACGTTTTGTAATACCACATACAATTTGATAATTAAGATCTGCGTAATTATTTAAAGCGATGCAATGTCAATTGATTCATGATGCATGAGTTAGACTGGGCGGGACCCCTGCCCTTCGGTGATCATCCCCACGCGGTAGATGAGCCGAGGAGCACCTTAGCCTCTGAGAATCTATTGTCACTTTGTGATAATCGATTATCAGAGTTCAACAGCACCTGATAGTAGATTATCAGAATTTCAGTCTACTATCACAGTACTCGGGTTCTACTTTGGTCTGTCGAATTACGTTCAACCTTTTGAAAATTGTAACGGACATTCAAGATTACAATATATCCAAATATGTAGTACGTATTTATGCCAAAGGATTGATAGTGATTTATTTTAACGAGTGTCATACGATATACTCCCTCCATTCTCAAAAACACTTCCTCTTTCATTTTTTCCACTTTCAAGAAAACACTTCCACTTTATATTAAAAAACCACTTTTACCCTTACTTTTTCATACCCTACCTATCACATCATACTTTTTCTCTAATAATATATCCATCACATCAGGGGCAAAATTGGAAGTCAACTATGATTTAACACTTCCTTATTTTGGCTCCAAATCAAAGTAGGAAGCCTTTTTGAATACGGAGGAAGTATCTTTTTAACGAGAAAAACTACGATCATAAGGTTTCGACGGAGGCTATGCCAAGTAGTAGAGCATATAAAGCAACAAATACACATTCGTTCATACATGTACAACACATATATTTGGGCATGGATTTATGTGTTCATGTAATCATCTAAGTGTGGTCTAGGTATTTTCCAACTTGTTCATTCGCATTTCAAATTCATTCACATATACGTATTGAATGATGCTATTACGATATTCATTGTTATTTCCCTGAAACCTAACCATATTCTTCATAACCTAACCATTCTACCACTTTTATTTCAAAATTTTTATTGTTTACGTTTGAGTTAAACATCCGTTTTGCCTTGTATAATCATTCAATTTCATATCAGTTTCTAATCATTGTTATTCTCTACGGAACTTTAATAAATCAAGAACATAACATGGTATGAATTTATATACAAATAATCATATAAACAACAAACTTATTTGCATATAAATATATTAAAGATTCCTATGTTATACCTAGGGTGTACATACCTCGGATACGACACAACGTAACGTAAGAAGGGACCGAATGAACCAACGTCAACAAACGGTTGTCAAACCGTTGACCTTCCAACTTCCCAACGGCATCTTGAGCTCTGTTTCTTCTTGCAAATATGTTATAGGGGTTGTGAAGAGTCGGCACGCATTCAACGAATAGCGGATTGGACGAAACAATATGAGAATGAAGGCGGAAGTTGCAACCCTCGCATTTTTCGTCGCTCCAGGACCAATTTTTGTAAAACAGCTGCATCGCCTTCGTTACTCGTCCGATTGACAAACCGTTTGCGGCTGTGGTTCACCAACTCGCAGAGCTACGACTTTGGTCAAGAAACCACACCAAAAACCGAGTTGAAGATGGTCGAAATTCTACCCAAAGTGGGTTGACGGAATTTTGCCTCCAAAAATCAGCACCTCCTCCTTCTTCTTCCTCTTCTTCTCCTTCATCTGACTTCCTCCGTGGTCTAGCTGCTGAGCCGGAATACAAAGAGAAGTGGAAGGATTGAGAGTGTGTTGATGATGTGGGGGTTACAAATGGTGAAAGCGATTGAAAGAAAGAGGGATGTATATATTGAAGAGACATAATGGAGGAATGATGAGGGAAGTAAATGAGAATTAAAAATGGGGAATGCATGGTGATGGGTGTGGAGTGTGGATTGGTTTGGGGAGTTACCTCCCTAAAACTCACTCTGTTGTGTAAATTCTGACCTGAATGATACGCGTTTTCCCCCCAAACTTGCCCGAATTGGAAACCGATTGCGTTTCCGGAAATAAACAGTCAAAACTAAATTTATGATATCTTTGAATTATTTTTCTCAAAACTTTATTTTCAAACTTCCGGATCCCTCCAATCATTAATTATTTTATTTAATTAATTAATGTTGAGAGGTCCGTTATTAAAATAAATTAACTTTCGAAGTCCATTTAATGATATCGAAATTTCAATATTTATTATTTAAAATAATGAGTCTCAATAAATAAATAATATTTATTTATTTAAAATACTCACTAGCGATAAGGCCAGTTTGTAGGGTGTTACAACTATCTCCCCCTTAAAGGAATTTCGTCCCCGAAATTCTCCTCAAGTCACACCTCACGTGTTTAGAGAGATAGTGTGTTACCCAAAACTTTGTTTTGCTGTTACCCACTAAATTACTATTTTGCAAAACACCTCAAATGTATCGTTAACAAAATGTAACCTTATAAGTGATCTTCATTAGGTTTCGTTGGCAAGTTGAAACCAGGTTCATGTTGATAACAAGTACGAATTTTAATTACTCATAGGTAGTGAAAAAAGAAACATTTATGTCAATAAACCCTCTTTTTGAAAGCTTTTCCTTATGATGTCAATCATTACGATCAATGTAACTCGACTGGGGGATGAAGGTGGAGTTTAATTAGCACTGCTGTGCACTTTGATGCATGGTTGTAGTCATCAATGTTGGTTCACCTACCGGTGTTGAGAATGGGATGGTGCACACGCACAATGTTACCCTAAGATCCTTAACTACGCTGTCACGATTTAGGGATCTCAAAGAATAGTTCCCTATTGATATATTCTATCTTCTTGGTTCTATAAGAAGTTGTCACCCTGGTCATATACGGAGAAATGTTACCCTTTTATGTTGCGGACAAATTGATTCGTCTTAAGAAAGAATTTAAGAAAGTAATTGTGATACCAAATTCTAAACAAAACTTATAGGAATTATGGTGAAACGAGAGAAATATTTTTAAAACTTTTCTAAATCATTAAACAAAATTAATAAACAAAACTTCAAATACAAAATACTAAATTCGGATCGGTTCTTTTACAAAATGTTGGAGATAGCGGAAGACTTAAAATAATACAAATACAATGATGTGGGTCAAACCCAAAACATTAAATGCAATGCTTGTGAAAATCATGCATGTCAACCTGCCATCCTATCGTGTCTTCGTCCTCCGGGTGGTTCACATAATCGGCGCTTCAACCTACGTGTAGACAAAAAGACTACACGCTCAGCATAAAGCTGCGTGGTATGATAACGCAAGAGATCGATAACATATTTATACTTAAATACCATGCATCACATTGGCCACATAATTTTCATGCTTGCAAAGTAGATAGCACAGGATACAAGAACACGTATACATATCATGGAGATTCATTTTGGAATATTATCCAAATATAAATACCTTCGCCTTGTCATTGTCGATGTAGGATATGAAGTGCGGTACGTTTTGCAATACCACATACAATTTGATAATTAAGATCTGTATAATTATTTAAAACGATGCAATGCCAAATGATTCATGATGCATGAGTTAGACTAGGCAGGGACCCCCTGCCTTTCGGTGATGATCCCCACGCGGTAGATGAGTCGAGGAGCGCCTTAGTCTTCCCGATGAAGACTAGAAATGTGGGTGATAGCTGAAAGCCTAGCTACCATGTACGTACACAAGCCCTCGTGATGAAAACCCGTTAGATCTCGCAGGCTCTTGGACGGGCCCGCGGAAGAGGCGCACTAGGCCTGACCTCTTGTCGCGGTATGCAAAGTATGCCATGATCCTAAACATGCGTCTAGGATATACATGATGATATGAATGCATTGCTTGAAGAATAAAGTTAAGTTCAACGCATACATATTAGTTTGATTCCGTGTGGAAATGATTTGTTCAACATGATGGCCCTGGGTTCAGAACTGGCTGATAATTAATTATCCGTTGTTGATAATCGATTATCATGATGTGTAGCTTATGTTCCCAAAGTTTTGCAGACTGTTATAATCGATTGTCACCTTATGACAACCGATTGTCTTGTTGATTTGTCCAGGAAACCCAAGTTCAGAGAGGCTTGGTAATCGATTGTTTCCCTGTGATAATCGATTTTCATGTGAAACCAGCTCTGACTCAGGAATCTGCAGGGTCTGATAATCGATTATAACCTATATATGTGATAATCGATTGTCACACCTTGCCGATTTTAATGAGAAGTACAGCGTGGCTTGACTTATGATCACGAAGACTTAAATTGAAAGCTAAGTCTCGGTTTTTAATCCATATTTCCATTGTTAATTCTTACCTTGAAAGAACTTTGATTTCGAATCTTTCTAAAAGTTTAGCAGCCCCTAATAATCAATTATCACTTGTTGATAATCAATTATCAAACTTTTGCAGCCTTTGATAATCGATTATCACCAAGTGATAATCGACTATCAAATGTTCCGAAACCTCTGAGAACGATTGTCATTTTGTGATAATCGATTATCAGAATTCAGCAGCACCTGATAGTAGATTATCAGAATTTGACATTCTACTATCACAGTACTCGGGTTCTACTTTGGTCTGTCGAATTACGTTCAACCTTTTGAAAATTATAATGGACATTCAAGATTACAATATATCCAAATATGTAGTATGTATTCATGCCAAAGGATTGATAGTGATTTATTTAACGAGTGTCATACGATATACCTTTATAACGAGAAAAACTACGATCATATGGTTTTGACGGAGGCTATGCCAAGTAGTAGAAAATATATAGCAACAAATACACATTCGTTCAAACATGTACAATTGTAGAACTTTGGAAAATACTTTTCTGATTGATTAGTTACCACAATGAGGTATATATACAAGGTACATAAGTACAAGCCCAACGGGCCAACTAACTACAATATAAACCAATACTACACAGGAATGCCCAATACTCCCCCTCAAGTTGGCGCATGAATATCAAGAATGCCCAACTTGGAGAGTAAGAAATTAAAAAGAGGACTAGAGAGCGCCTTAGTAAAAATATCTGCAATCTGCAACTTGGTGGGAACATAGGCCGTGGACACATGGTTGCGCTGAACACACTCACGAACAATATGACAGTCTATATCAATATGCTTGGAGCGTTCATGAAACACCGGATTCGCTGCGATGTACAACGCAGACTTATTGTCACAATACAAATGCGGAGTAGCAACACATGGAACAAACAGAGCCGCAAGAAGACCCCGGAGCCAACGAATCTCCGTACATGCACTAGCCATGGCCCTGTACTCAGCCTCGGCCGAAGAACGAGACACGGTGTCCTGCTTTTTACACCTCCCCGAAACCGGGGAACCACCCAAAAGTATAAAATAACCAGTGACGGAACGACGAGTAATGGGACAACTTGCCCAATCTGAATCTGAGTAAGCCATAAGCGATAAGTCACTATCACTACGCAAAAAGATACCCTGACCCGGATGTCCCTTCAGATAACGTACCACCCGCAACGCCGCTTGTAAATGGTCAAGTCGTGAAGCATGCATGAACTGAGACAAAACATGAACTGAGAAACAAATGTCAGGACGAGTGATAGTCAAATACAACAGACGGCCAACCAGGCGCCTATACTTGGCAGGATCACGAATCTCAGGACTCGAGGAAGTAGCAAGCGAGTGTCCAGGAGTAATAGGAGTAGAAACAGGCTTGCACCCATAAAGGCCCGCCTCTTCAATAATATCCAACGCGTACTTCCGCTGATTTAGAACCATGCCTGCCGGGGACCTAGCACACTCGATCCCCAGAAAGTAAGAGACTGGGCCCAGATCTTTCAAACAAAAACAATCATTCAAGTATCGCTTGAACGACGAACAAATAGACGAGTTATTACCTGCAAGGAGAATATCATCCACATAAACCAATACAACCAAGATATCAGGACCATGAGTTCGAACGAATAATGTATGATCAGCATGGGCTTGGCGAAACCCAACAGCACAAAGAGCATTGCGCAACTTAGCAAACCAGTTACGCGGTGACTGACGTAGCCCGTACAAGGACTTTCGGAGACGACAAACTTTACCAGGATATGCCCCAGTGTACCCAGGCGGCAACTTCATGTACACCTCTTCCTTGAGATCCCCATGTAAAAAGGCATTGTTAACATCCAACTGATGAACCTCCCACGAGCGAGCAACTGCAACAGACAAAAGAATACGCACCGTGGTTAATTTAGCCACTGGCGCAAAAGTGTCAGTGTAATCCGTCCCAAATTCCTGATGATTCCCCAACACAACTAAGCGGGCTTTGTCACGTTCTTTAGTACCATCGGAATGAAACTTCGTGCGATACACCCACTGGCAGCCCAATGCACGACGAAACAGTGGAAGATCAGTAATATCCCAAGTATGATTCCTCTCCAACGCTAACAATTCCTTCGCCATCGCTTCCCGCCAAGAAGCGCGCTTGACAGCCTCACGATAGCTTTTGGGCTCCACAGTTGCCGTCACCACTCCGAGAAAACCTCTATACCTTTCATGTAACTTATCATAATGAACAAAATTAGTAATAGGGAACCGAGTACCTGAAACTGAAGACTGAACGGGAGAGGACGTAGCCGGAGAACATGTCGTGACGGTGTGACAAACATAATCAGATAGATGAGATGGAGGGTGACGGACACGGGATGATTGACGGACTGGGGGGGCTGTTTCTGTTTCGGGTGGAGAGGTGTCTGACGAGGTGGGTGCACCGTCGGCAGTAGATGCAAGGTTAGAGGGGCGGGGTTCAAGAATCGGGACCGGGGTGGGGTTGTCGGCAGTGACAGCCGATTCTGGGTTAGGAGACTGGTTTGACGCCGACACGGGAATGGCTTTGGGAAAGTCACCCGCAGGGGCAGTGAGAGGTGGTGTGGAGGGCGTAGTGTTGGACGATAGAGCAAAAGGAAACACAGTTTCGTCAAACGAAATGTCACGAGTATGAAAGAAACTATGTGTCTCCAAATTGTAGACACGCCATCCCTTCGTACCAGATGGATACCCAACAAACATACACCGAATACTACGGGGAGCAAATTTATTGGGAAGTTTTTGACGAACATAACAGAGACACCCAAACACCCGAAGATGGCTAAGGTCACAAGGTTTGGACGAAAGAATTTCAAGAGGAGACTTACCACCCAAGAGAGACGTGGGAAGACGATTAATGAGATAGACTGTAGTTTTGACACATTCACCCCAGAATTCAGGTGGTAGGGATGCTTGAAACATGAGGGCACGCGCCACGTTGAGAATGTGGCAATGTTTCATTTCTACACGGCCATTCTGCTGAGGGTTACCTACACAAGAAGTTTGTATCTGGACACCCATGTGATCATAATATTCAAGAAGTGGTTTATTGAGGAACTCAGTACCATTATCTGAACGAACAACTTTTATTGTTTTCTCGTACTGGGTAGCAATCATAGCAAAGAAACGTTTCAAACAAGAGGTAACCTCACATTTAACTTTAATAAGGTAAACCCACACAGCCCGAGAATGATCATCAACGATAGTTAAAAAATAATGAGCCCCTGTAGCTAAACAAGCTGAATATGGTTCCCAGAGATCACAATGAATTAAATCAAACACAGAATTGGCTTTATTCAAACTTGTAGGAAACGGAGAACGAGTCTGTTTGGACATAAAACAAATATCACACGTTTGCAACTTCTTTAAATTAGAAGTGCTATTATTAGGACTAACAAAGGACATAACTTTGGGTGAGGGATGACCCAAGCGCTAATGTAAAAGAAAAGAATCAACGGTGGAAGCATGAACTTGAGGCAGACCGCAAAACACGTATACTCCGTTACGCAATTCACCTCGTCCAATCTCCATTTTCGACAAACGGTCCTGTATTACACAAAAGAGTTCATTAAAAATTACATGACAAATATTATCACAAACAAGACAACCCACGGAAATTAAATGGCAATGCAGATTTGGCACAAGCAAAACACCCAATAGCACCATATTTGGAGAGAGTCGTACGCTCCCTTGTTGATGTGCGTGAACCCGAGACCCATCGGGTAAGATAATTCCACACGGTGGAATATTAACGAGATCAAACAAGTGAGTTTTATCACCGGTCATGTGATGAGATTCTCCACTATCAATTAACCATTCATTATAACAAGAAGTCATACCATTGTACTGTTGGGACGAGGAAGACTCAAGCAAAAACATTAGTTTTGCCATTTGATCGCTAAGATGACTCGAAGGCTCTGTGTTCGCAACATATGCACCTGCCGAGTGGCCAGACACTGTCCCCGGGGTACTGCCGTAGGGCCCACTACCTGGGCGGGCTGCCTTCTGGGTGTCGCCATAGGAGGTGCTGCCAAGGCGGGCAGTCCCTCTGCCACCATCGCGACCAGGGGAGGGGTTCCCCCGACCGCCACCACGGCCACCTCTACCTCACTGCGCTGCACCGCGGCCTCCGCCGCGACCATATTGTTCTGGAAACCCAATCTTCTTAGATGCCATGATGGACGAACCCAATCAATCGCTACACTACTGGCGCTGGACAGTGCACCACGACGGTGATTTGACTGGGTAGATAAGGACGACGGCCGGACCTGGAATTTGGCCGGAGGAACTTGGCCGGACCCACTTAACGGACAGACGACGTTGATGATGAAACCCTAGGCGCGGAAATGGAACCCTAGGAACTTTTGCTCCGATACCATGTAGAACTTTGGAAAATACTTTTCTGATTGATTAGTTACCACAATGAGGTATATATACAAGGTACATAAGTACCAGCCCAACGGGCCAACTAACTACAATATAAACCAATACTACACAGGAATGCCCAATAACAACACATATATTTGGGCATGGATTTACGTGTTCATATAATCGTCTAAGTGTCGTCTAGGTGTTTTCCAACTTGTTCATTCGCATGTCAAATTTATTCACATTTACGTATCGAATGATGCTATTACGATATTCATTGTTATTTTCCTAGAACCTAACCATATTCTTCATAACCTAACCATTCTACCACTTTTATTTCAAAATTCTTATTGTTTACGTTTGAGTTAAACATCCGTTTAGCCTTGTACATTCATTCAATTTCATATCAGTTTCTAATCCTTGTTATTCTCTACGGAACTTTAATAAATCAAGAACACAACATGGTATGAATTTATATACAAATAATCATATAAACAACAAACGTATTCGCATATAAATATATTAAAGATTCCTTTGTTATACCTAGGGTGTACATACTTCGGATATGACACAACGTTAGAAGGGACCGAATGAACCAACGTCAACAAACGGTTGTCAAACCGTTAACCTTCTGACTTCCCAATGGCTTCTTGAGTTCCGTTTCTTCTTGTGAATATGTTATAGGGCTTGTGAAGAGTTGGCACGCATTAATGAATAGCGGATTGGACAAAACAATATGAGAATGAAGGCGGAAGTTGCAACCCTAGCATTTTTCATCGCTCTAGGACCAGTTTTTGTAAAACGGCTGCATCGCCTTCGTTACTCGTCCGATTGACAAACCGTTTGCAGCTATGGTTCACAGACTCGCAGAGCTACGACTTTGGTCAAGAAACCACGACCAAAAACGGAGTTTAAGATGGTCGAAATTCTACCCATAGTGGGCTGACGGAATTCTGCCTCCAAAAATCAGCACCTCCTCCTTCTTCTTCCTCTTCTTCTCCTTCGTCGGCCTTCCTCTGTGGTGTGGCTGCTGATCCGGAATACAAAGAGATGTGGAAGGATTGAGAGTGCGTTGATGGTGTGGGGGTTACAAATGGTGAAGGAGATAGAAGGAAAGAGGGATGTATATATTGAAGAGACATAATGGAGGAATAATGGAGGAACGATGATGGAAGTAAATGAAAATTAAAAATGGGGAATGCATGGTGATGGGTGTGGAGTGTGGATTGGTTTGGGGAGTTACCTCCGTAAAACTCACTCTGTTGTGTAAATTCTGACCTGAACGATACGCGTTTCACCACCCCCCCCCCCCAAACATGCCCGAATTGGAAACCGATTGCGTTTCTGGAAATAAACAGTCAAAACTAAATTTATGATATCTTCGAATTATTTTTCTCAAAACTTTATTTTTAAACTTCCGGATCCCTCCCAATCATTAATTAATTTATTTAGTTAATTAATGTTGAGTGGTCCGTTATTAAAATAAATTAACTTTGGATGTCCATTTAATGATATCAAAATTTCAATATTTATTATTTAAAATAATGAGTTTCAATAAATAAATAATATTTATTTATTTAAAATACTGACTAGCTATTAGGCCAGTTTGTAGGGCGTTACAAAAATCAATGCTCTACTCTTCGCCCCGAACTGATTTACATACTTACTATTATATCGATCTCGATAATTTTACTTTATTTGCACTTTTTCATTGGTCATTTGAGAAAATAAAAATTTCTTTTCACTTCTTGTTAGATAAAACATTAGATGTAGTTTTTAAATATATAAATTTTATATTTTATATTTATACTAATTTGTAACTAAAATTATTTTGAAACTAACAAGCTTTTGCACGTCATTCAAATAGTGTAATGACATGTTTGGTTACTTGAATTTGGATTTTAAATTTAGATTGAGTTCAAATTCCACGTTTGGAAATCTTAAAAAAATTAATTTTTGATTTGAGAGAAATTCTTCTAAGGCTCTGTATGTTTGGATTGTAAGAATAAAAGTATGATGTTGGAAGAAATTCAAATAAATTGGGAGAAACTCGAAGAAGATTGAATAAATTGGTTGGACTTGGAAAAAATTCGAAGAATATAGAAAATTTTGGAAAAATATAAAGTGTTAAAAAATCATTCAATTAAATAGTCAACCAAATAAATATGAAAGTAAACTAGTATTGGATTAAAAAAATTATTCATCTTTGTCTGTGTTTCAGATGATATGTTATAAGTTTAGATATATGATTTTATTGTATATTTATGATATCTAAATACTTTTTTAGTGGGTGTTGAAATTGGAAGAAACTAGAACAAATTTGAATAAACTAGAAAGAGTTAGAAGAAGTTAGAAGTTAACTTTTCTAATCTAAGTAAATAGATTCCAATTCATAAAAAACTCAATTTAATATCGATATATCTTCCCTTGTTATTTAACATTCAAGAATTCAATTAGAATTGAAATGAAATATTAGTTTCAAACACTATGTAAACGAATTTGAAAGGCAAGAATTGAAATGAAATATTAGTTTCTTTTTTTCTCTTTTTTCTTGTTTTTTCATTCTCTGTATATGTTTTTAATTTCTTTTAAAAAAACTATTTTTACACTTTTCTTTTATTTTGATCAAAATAGAAATTAAAGAGATTAATAAAGAAAAAAATACTTCTATAGAAAAGGAAAAATAAAGTCATTAAGGAAATCTGTTGGACATTAATCCAAAAAGGACCGTGTATTTAAAAAAATACCTTTTTAAAGACCAAAAATAAAAATATTTAATTTGAAACAAATGAAGTAGGAAGTATATGAAGTAGAGAGTACTAAAACATTACAAAATATAGTTTTAAAAAAAAAAATCGAAAACATTTATGAAAAATGAGAAGAAAAAAAGGAAAACAATATACAAAAATAAACAAAAAATGGAGGGGACGCTGGTGTCTATTTTCCGAATTTGGTGCTATTTATTTGAGGGTATTTAAGTCACGAGATACATTAGCAAAGAAATATCAAAACAAAGAAGAAAAACGGCCTAAATTTTAAATAGGAACAATTATTCGAAATAATCTCAAATTTATCTAGTTTTTCAAAGATAATCTGATATTTCACTGTGATGAATAATAATCTTAACTTAGTTGAAATTTGCGAGTTTTGGGTCTGATGGTGTAAATATAACTGGGTGGGTTGACCGGGTCTGACCTGGACACACTCGACCCATAGTAAAATACACACAATAGGAACACAAAGTATGACCTAGACAGGGTAAATCTCCTCAGTCCGAATTATATTTCTTACTCTGTCTCAAGAGTATACTTTTAGTGAGATAAAACTTGGATCCCCTCCTCTATCCATAATCATCATATTTATAGAGGAGGATTTATGACCTTCTCCTGTTCATCTATGGACAAAATAGGAAATCCGGAGGAAGGTCACTGTACATAATGTAATCACTATTCAATCATGGACCTTTCATGTATACAACAAAAGAACACTGTTCAATCAATGACTATGGTGGATATTCTCTATCCAATCAACTCTGCAAGATGACAAACATCCCTTTCACTGTATGTCTCGTGATGGATGAGTGGCGGGGTGGTCCCTCGATTTTTGACGTGGTTTGCCATGCTTAAGAGACCGTTAGCCAAGTAGAAGAATATGACCAATCACCTTTCCTCGAAGGTCGACCGGTCATTTCATGAGCCCAACACGTCTCTTTGGCCTCCCAGGATGTCCTTCATAACATTATGTGACATTTTGGCTATCGCCCAAAATGTGTCCGGTCACTTTTTTAAGGAAAGTGACCTGTCAACTCTCGACCCGTCTCAATCGAAGAGTTTGCCTCATTTTGTAATTGGGGAAAGTGACCGGTCATATTTTGACATGTCCCTTTCGGAAATTCGGGTTGGGTATAGGGATATACCCATCAGGGTCGTTGTTAAGTTAGTAACGGCGTGCTAACGAAAATGGCATGTATTGCGCAACAAAAAAATTGAGATTATCTTTGAGAAATTTTCGTTTTTGAATTTTTTATTTTTATAAACATTTTCATTTAAATTTTTAAAATGAGTTTTTGTCCTTATCATTTTTTTTACTTTGTCTAACTTTGATATAAAAAATAACGAAAATGAGAAAAATAACTAAAATCATACAAAATTAATTAAATGAATAAGGTAATCAACAGAAATTAACTTGAAACTGGTATAGAAATATATCGTTTCGTTTGACCCGCCGTTAGCAACTTAACTGCGACCCAAAACTCGCAAGTTTTAGTAAATTTCATAATATTGAGCATCACAGTGAAAAGTGAGATTGTTTTTGAAAACAGGGTACGTAAAGTTGGGATTATTTAAATAATTTTTCCTTTTAAAATGGGTAAAATGCTTACAAGGTCCCTATATTTTTCGGAAATGCTTCCCAAATCCCTGAAGTATTTTAAGTGCTTACAATGTCCCTATCTTTTTTTTGAACATGCTTCACACATTCCTAAATTATTTTTAGTGTTTATCTGATCCTTATTCTCTTTATCTGGTGTGTTAGTGATCCCTTCAGTAGGTTTTTTCAGACCAAGTCTTCTGAAATTGTTGTAACTTGTAAAAATTGATGTTATATACTCCCTCCGTTTGGAAAAAGCCTTCCCACTTTGACTATAAGGCAAAATAAGGAAGTGTAAAATTATAGTTGACTTCTGATCCAATTTTGCCCCTGATGTGATGGGTAAAAAGTAAGATGTGATGGATTTACTATTAGAGAAAAAGTATGATGTGATAGGTAGGGTATGAAAAAGTAAGGGTAAAAGTGGTTTTTTAATAGAAAGGGGAAGTGTTTTGTTGGAAGTGAAAAAATGAAAGAGGACGTGTTTTTGAGAACGAGTGGAGTAATAAATTTTCAAACAACTTCTGCTTGTTGCTCGAATAACTTCTGCGCACTTGATCTGAAAAATACCTTCGAAGGGACTATTAACGCATGAATTAGAAAGTACGTATATGGACCTGGTAGAGACTAAAAATAATATAAAGACCTATGGATGCGTTTAAAAATACATAGAGATCTAGTTTACACTTAGGGGCTGTTTGTTTCAGCCTCTTAATGGTTCAGATGTCTGAATGATTCAGCACTTAATGGTTCAGACGGTTTGTTTCAGCCTCTTAATGGTTCAGATGTCTGAATGGTTAAGAGATTTGCCTCTGAATAGTTAAGTATTATACAGAGTCTGAATGGTTAAGAGCTCTTATCTGAATTGATCAGACATTTGCCTCTGAATAGTTAAACAATATACTAGCTCTTAATGGTTCAGACCTCTTACTGGTTCAGCACTTAATGATTCAGACCTCTTACTGGTTCAGCACTTACCCATTCAGAAGTTACCAAACAGCCCCTTAAAATGATTTGGGAACTTGACAAGTAGTATGTTCAAAAAAATATAAGGATGCTGTGAGCAGTTTACCTTTTTTAAAAAGGATAAAGCTATTTGTACCCTAAATTTTTGTACCCCATTTTGTATACCGTTGGTTTGCACCGACATTTTGTGTTGGTGCAAAACTAATTTTTGTTAACGCACCAACACCTTGTGTCCGTGTAAAATTTTGTTAAGCACTAACACTTGTGTCGGTGTAAACCATCAAAATATGTTTGTGTATAACTGCGGTGTACAAATTAAATGGGGTACAATTTTTTATGTAAATATAGCATGGCCCTTTTAAAAAACATGAAGGATAATGGTGGGTACGTATAACGTACTTCTTAAACCATTGATGCAATAAAATACTCCATAAATGTCTTAATGGCATTTTGGTTGCTGCATTCGAAACGAACGTCGACGGGTTTTTCAGTCACATTCGTTAGCTTGACGCACGTCGTCGTTTTTTTCAGTCTCATTCATTATCCTAACACACGTCGAAAAGGAGCTAGTGACGAGTGATAACTACGTCCCTACCATTATCACATGATTCACATTATGTGACAATGCCACGTTGAAACTCCTTACTCCACAAAATATTTAGAGTTATGTTTGATTGACCCTAACATTTGAATCTCACTCTTTTATTCTAGTCTTATAATTATTACAGGTATAGAACAATTTCAAATCTCTTTAATATATGTAAAAATGGGGTTAAAGGGTGAATTTCAGATAATGTTAGGGTTAAAATAGCATTTTCTAAATATTTACTTCTTACATAAACAATCTCAAATTTTAAATTCTTTCAATTCATTTTATTTAAAAATTATGATAATATTTAAAAAAAATTATAAAACAAGAAGCAACATAAATATATATTTTATTAAAAAATCAATAAAGATATAGAAATAAATAAGAGTTCACATAATTTTTGAGGAGTAGACGGTGGAGTTGTCTTTGGGACAGAGTGAGTATGTAATTAAAATTTGAAAACTGTTAAAACTACATTAGAGTTGTACTAACATATTCCCTCCGTCCCTAAATGAATTAGACTCTTCAATCAATGTGCAAATTTTCATAATTTTTAGAACGACTTTATTTGCAAATTGATTTAGAAATAAAAAATAAAACTATATATTTAAAAATATATAAAAAATTATACAAAACAAGATGTGACAAGAATTTTTTAATCAAGAGATCGATAAAAACATTTAAACAACAAAAGTTATCGAGATGTCATAATAATAAAGTGGTAAGTTAATCATGTTGGAATTTTTTTTGATAAATTGGACTTTTTCAGACATAAATTGGATGGGGTCCACAAAATTATTTTTTGAAATAATTGTGGACGTTTAATCTCGTAAGTGAGATAAATGTTTCGATATATTACACGCCATAAATGGTGCTCAGGTGAATGAGAAATTAATTCTCAAAGTTGAATATGAGGAAAGAGTAAAACCCTTGTCCCACACCGGTTTTTGAACCTTTCGTATTCTCATATTTAAACTGAAATATTTAATTGAGTTTATGAAAGGAACAAGAAAGGACTCCTCGCGCACCGCCGCCCGTCCAGCTCAGCAGGTCACGCGCGTGCGTCGCGGCGGGGCGGGGCGGGGCGTGCGCGCCGCGCCCGTGCCCGCGTCTGCAGCGTGGCTTTTACGAGACCGAATGAAACACGCGTGTACACTTCGTTAATACTAACGAAATGATGGGAGTTAAGCATGCATGCATCCATCTGAAGGGTCTCTTGTGACTCCTCGGTAGTACCGCCAAGACCGTCCAGGTTCGTCCGTTTCACCCAAGATCATCTCCTATATAAGGAGTGCTTTGTTGCTTTAGAGAAATAAGAAGGAAAACTTGAATTCCTAGTACTCTCTGCGTCCAGCTCTCTCTCCCCGTTTTCCGATCAACTTCTCTGATCAATAACTTTCCTTTGTTTTTGTTCGCCGGTGCACGGTACTACTACTCGAGACCTTGCACGTGCGGGAGGCGGGCAATACTACCTTAGGGAAAGCTCTGGCGACTCCGCTTTCCTAACCTATATTTCTAGAAACTACTCCCTCTGCCTTCCGTCCGACGTTCCTGCCGTTGTTGTTGTTCGTGTTCTTCCTCCTGCCTGTTCGTGTTCTTTCATCTGTCTGTTCCTGTTCGAGTTCCCAAAGTTTTAATTTACTTATGTTTATTTCCATTGTAAAATCTGAACATTTTATAAGTTCAGATTATATATTTTTTAAATTCCCAGCTGTAGCAGTTAACAATCTTAAGGTAGTATCGATGGACTTTGGATTCGGCATTGTGAGTTCCTCTGGAAACGGAATGAGTTCCGAAGCTCCGGTAGAGACCTCTTTGGTTACCATGGTTGTGTCGTCATCACCGCTGCCCTTCGGGTCAAGTGTGGGGGCCGCCACCATGACCTCATTCTCGATGCTGAGCTCGATCTTTGGGTCGTCTCCTCAACCCATTCCCAGGCTCGAAACCATGGGGGGTTACCCCGTTGTAATATGAACCCGTTCCTTGGTTAGTCTTTGGCTTCGGCCTCGACGGTCAACTTCAGACCAAATGCGGGATTCAACGCACCGGTCAATCCATTTGTCGGACCTCATTGGGCGTGCAACGGGCCTTTCCTCCATACGCCCAATGTAGTTGGGCCGATATGAGTGCCTGCTAGTACTGTCCAAAGGCCACGGAATTTAATTGGCACGAACTTCAAGATGTGGAAACAAAAGATGACGTTCTTTTTTACCGTCTTGGGATTTGCTGAGTACCTACAGCAAGATCCTCCCCAGGCGAACGACGGGAACGACCCCCTCGTGGCGATGGTGAACCAAGCATGGTACCATAATAACTATCTCACCATCAACTACATCCTCGAGGGGTTGGCCGAGACGTTGTACCCCGTCTATGCCGGTGCAAAGCTTACAAAGGAGCTTTGGAGTAGCTTGAACAAGAAGTATCAAGCTAAAGATGTCAGCACGAAGAAGTTCATCGTCGGGAAGATGCTGGACTACAAGATGGTTGACATCAAATCTGTTGTCGCTCAGGCTTAGGAGCTTACGGTAATCTTCAATAAATGAAATGAAGAGAAAGTAGGCGTCAGCGAGGCCTTTCAAGTGGCGGCCATCATTCACAAACTTCCACGCTCTTGGGAAGACTTCCAAGCCGATCTCAAGCTCAAGAGAACTGAGCTGAACCTGGAGCAACTACTCATGCGGTTGAGGATCCGAGAGGAAGGGCTTGCCAGAAGAGGTGGAGGGGAAAAGGCGAATATGGTAGAACATCCTTCGGGCTCTTCACATGGCAGGAAGGACAAAAGGAAAATCGGTCCTAAAGGTGGTGTTTCTAAATTTGCAGGGAAATGCTACAATTGTGGCATTACCGGGCATCGTTCTTCCGACTGTAGGAAAAAGAAGTCACAAAAGAACAAGAAGAAAACCACTAAAGCCATGTGTGCAGAGCTCGACAACTTGGACCTCTGCGCAGTTGTCACCGAGGTGAATCTCGTCAGGTCAAACTCAAGGGAAAGGTTTGTGGACACAGGGGCAACACGCTATATTTGCTCCAATCGGAGCATGTTTCACGACTTCTAAGAGACCACCGGTGAGAAGGTCTGGATGGGCAAATCGGCCTAATCAGAGGTTCAAGGTGTTGGTAAGATTAAGCTTAAAATGACCTCCGGCAAAGAGCTAACGCTTAATGACGTACTCTTTGTGCCAGACATTCGTAAAATTTTAGTGTCAAGGTCATTGCTGATCAAACACGGCTTTCGGATGGTGTTTGAATCAGATAAGCTAATCTTGTCCAAGAAAGGGATTTTTATAGGGAAAGGTTATATTTCCGACGGGCTTGTAAAGCTAAATGTAATGACTATTCATGAGAAAATCAATAAAAATCTTGTTGCTTATGTGTTTGAGTCTTCTAGTTTATGGCATGGTAGACTAGGACATGTTAATTATGCATCTCTTCGAAAATTAATTAGCATGGAACACATTCCTAAGTTTAGTATTGACTTAATTCACAAATGCAAAACTTGTGTTGAGGCAAAGTCAACTCGAAGTTCGTTTCAAACGATCGAACGAAATACTCAACCTCTAGAGTTGGTTCACACTGACTTGTGTGATTTTCGAACAACGCCTTCAAGAGAAAGTGATAAATACTTTATTACCTTCGTCAATGATAGCACAAAATATTGCTATATCTATTTACTGTAAAGTAAAGATGAAGCGCTAGACACTTTCGTTCGATACAAGAATGAAGTGGAAAATAAAAGCGTTGAGAAGTGATAGAGGTGGTGAGTATGATGCTCCACTTAATGAGTTTTGTGTACAACATGGAATAGTGCATCAAGTAACCCCATCTTATATACCACAGTCTAACGGTGTAGCGGAGCGGAAAAATCGCACTCTGAAAGACATGATGAATGTGATGCCACTTAGTTCTGGATTACCACTGAACATGTGGGGGAGGCTTTTTTATCAAGTAACTACTTACTAAATAAAATACCTCGTAAGAAACTTGACAAAACTCAGTATGAACTTTGGCATAATAGGAAACCTTCCTATAAATATCTCAAAGTGTGGGGGTGTCTCGCAAAAGTACTTGCACCACCACCAAAGAAGATGGAGATCGGTCCAAAGACAGTTGATGGAATCTTCATTGGGTACAATAGTACGTCATATCAGTTCTTAGTGTACAAGTCAAATAATCCTGAAATTCACAAGAACAAAATCATCGAGTCATGGAATGCAACATTTTTCGAGCACATTTTTCTGTGCAAGTCAAGTGACGAAGCTAGTTCGTCCAAACGTTCTCACACTGAGATGATGGATAACGATGATCCAAATCAGTTGAATTCCGGTGACAATGATGGAGTTGAACATGAAACTGAACTGAGACAAAGTAAAAGAATACGAACTGAAAAGACGTTCAGTTCTGACTTCATAACATATCTGATAGAATTTGACAAAGGAACTTTGTCATTGTTAATGGAAAATGAACCCGATATTGTAACCTCTTTGGTAGAAAAGGAGCCACGAACCTATCACGAGGCCGTAACCTCAACTGAGGGACCTCACTGGAGAGAAGCCATAAAAGTGAAGATGATGTTATTCTACAGAATCACACGTGGGAATTGGTTGATCTTCCTCCAGGGTGTAAGCCATTAGGTTCTAAATGGGTCATTCGGAAGAAAATGAAGCCTAACAGCTCCATTGACAAGTACAAAGCAAGACTTGTGATCAAGGGGAATAGCCAACGTGAGGGCTATGCCTACTTTGATACTTAAGCGCACGTGACTAGGATAGATTCTATCAGAATGATCATTCCATTTGCATCCTTACAAAACCTGGATGTTTACCAAATGGATGTAAAGACAGCTTTTCTAAATGGCGAACTAGATGAAGAAATCTATATGGAACAACCCGAGGGGTTTAAGGTTCCGGGCCAAGAAAAGAAGGTTTGCAAACTGGTGAAATCATTATACAGTCTTAAACTAGCGCCAAAACAATGGCATGATAAGTTTGACTAGGTAATGATGAACAATGGTTTTAAGATAAATGAGTCAGATAAGTGCGTATACTTTAAGGACACGTCTAAAGGGTATGTCATTTTATGTCTGTATGTAGACGACATACTCATCGTTGGAAGCAACGACAAGATGGTTAAGTCCACCAAGGACATGTTCAACGCACGATTCGATATGAAAGATTTCAGTCTAGCTGATGTGATTCTCGGAATCAAAATACTAAGAAGACCAGATGGTCTGAGCTTGAGCCAATCCCACTACATTGATAAAATCCTTGGAAAATTCAACAAAGATGATACTAAGATAGCTAAGACACCGATAGACGTAAATGCTCACCTCGGTAAACACCGAGGGAGTAGTGATTCTCAGACAGAATACGCTAGAGTTATCGGAAGTCTGATATATCTCATGAGCTGTACACATCCAGCCTTACCTTGCGCCATTAGCAAACTAAGTAGGTATACTAGTAATCCGAGCACTGAGCACTGGAAGGCCATAGTCCGAGTGATGAGATACCTTCGGTATACTTGAGATTATAGCCTATGCTATGGCAGGTATCCACCCGTGTTGGAAGGGTACACTAATGCCAATTGGATTGCGGATAATAAGGATTCAAAATCCAGAAGCAGATTTATCTTTATGTTAGCCGGTGCAGCTGTATCCTGGAAATCCTCAAAACAAATGTTAATTGCCAGATCCACCATGGAGTCTGAGTTTATAGCACTAGATAAGTGCTCAAAACATGCCGAGTGGCTTTGAAATTTACTTGAGGATATTCCAAACTGGTAAAAACTAATTCCTCCTATTTGCGTATATTGTGACTTTCAATCGGCAATAAAACGAGCTCGGAATAAATTGTACAATGGTAAGTCTAGGAACATTCGCTCTAGACACAAAACCATTAAGCAACTCCTCAATACGGGTATTATCTCAATTTACTATGTTAAGTCAAAGGATAATTTAGTTGATCCACTAACCTAAGGGTTAACAAATGAACAACATGAAAAGTTAGTAGTAGGAATGGGTCTGAAAGCCCTACTCTGTGGTGGGAACGTTCCATGAGGGAAAACCCAACCCGGGTGGTACCTGGGTTCAATGAGACAACCTACTTGTGGGACGAAGCATGGTCACTGTGGGCGCGAGCCGGATCACCAACTCGACATCCCTCCGTTCCTACCAAGATACAGTGACTCCCGAAAACGATGAGGTTAGCATGATGGTTTAATGATTCTTGAACTATGGACAACGGTTCAAAGTAGAGTAATCGAGATACTCTTAGAAGAATCACCTATGTAAGAGTGAAGTGCGGTCGCTTCAATAGAAGAATTTCTTGGCTGATTCTGTCTCACACTCTCGCAGAACCAGATGCGTGTTCCACGACCATAATGGGCACACCCATGAGAACAGAATGATGGTTGGTTGAAACCTGTGTAGTGTATATCATCTTTTACATAGACGACAGTACAATTCAAAGACATCACGTTCTACTGAACTGCTAGTAAAGAAGGTATACTTTACAAGGAGTAGGTTCAAATGCATTAAATCTAACCTACTCTTGCAGTTTTCAAATTCATAGTTATTGCCAGTCACATGAATTAATTTTCATTCATGTGGGGGATTGTTGGATTTTTTTTTGATAAATTTGACTTTTTCGGACATAAATTCGGTGGGATCCACAAACTTATTTTCTGAAATAATTATGGACGTTTAATCTCGTAAGTGAGATAAATGTTTCGACATATTACACGCCATAAATGGTGCTCGAGTGAATGAGAAATTAATTCTCAAAGTTGAATATGAGGGAAGAGTAAAACCCTTGTCCCACACCGGTTTTTGAACATTTCATATTCTCATACTTAACCTGAAACATTTAATTGAGTTTATGAAAGGAACAAGAAAGGACCCCTCGCGCGCCACCTCCACTGTCCGTCCGTCCGGCTCGGTACGTCACGACACGCGCGCGCGTGTCGCAGTAGGGCAGGGCGTGGCGAGGCGCGCGCGCCGCGCCCGCGGCGTGGCTAGCTTTTTACGAGACCGAATCAAACACGCGTGTACACTTCGTTAATAACAAAGTGACGGGAGTTAAGCATGCATGCATCCATCCGAAGGGTCTCTGGTGACTCCTCGGTAGTTCCGCCAAGACTATCCAGGTTCGTCCGTTTCACCCAAGATCATCTCCTATATAAGGAGTGCTCTATTTCTGTAGAGAAATTAAAAGGAAAACTTGAAGTCCTAGTACTCTCTGCGTCCAACTCTCTCTCCCATTTTTCCGATCAACTTATCCGGGAAATAACGTTTCGTCGTTTTCGTTCGCCTGTGCACGCTACTATCGCTCGAGACCTTGCACGTTGCAGTTTTATCCTGGGAGGAGATTGCCCATGTTTTCCACTGCGGGAGGCGGGCAATACTACCTTAAGGAAAGCTCCGGCGCCTTCGCTATTCTAACCTATATTTCTAGAAACTGCTCTGGCGACCCTGTGCCTTCCGTCCGACGTTCCTGCCGTCGTTGCTGTTCGTGTTCTTCCTCCTGCCCGTTTGTGTTCTTTCATTTGTCCGTTTGTGTTCGAGTTCCCGAAGTATTACTTTACTTGTTTTTATTCCCATTGTAAAATCCAAACATTTTATAAGTTCGGATTATATATATATTTTTTTAATTCCCGCTGTAAGAGTTAACAAATCATTTAGAGACTTAGAAACTACATGATATATAAATCTTGGGGGGGGAATAGTTCTGGTTCTCCATTACACATGGACACCCATGGCTCATTTCTTTTCAAAACTTATTTACAAATTCTCATGCATGATAATAACATGTTACACATGCATTCCTCAAAATATTTTTTGTTCATTTTTTCGAAAAAATGAGGGGAGATTAAAACCAATTTTCCAAATTATAGAAGCCATTAGGGCCTGTTTTCTCGGTTCAATTTTAGTTTCTTTTTTAGTTCCTTTTTTCTTTGTTTGGTTTCTTTCTTCCCCAACATTTTTTAATTTGTTTTAATTTTTTTATATTTAATATTTAAAAAAAAATTTGATTGAAATAAAAATAAATGAAATGAAAACATAGCATATACTTGATCTGTGGAAACATATATATTTTTATTTCTTGTTTTCAAAAGTAAAAAAGTAAAACCCTTTTTGTAACCTTAAAAAATAGGAATAGGAAAAGAAAATAAAATAAATGAAACAAAATTAGAAAATTGAAATGAAAAAAATGCCAAAAAATTCTCTTATTCAAAAGAGAAATGTAGTTTTCGAGTGCGCTGATAAAGTTCTTTTTTGAAGCGCCCAAAAAATTCAAAATTTTTTGATGATATTCTTTTTGTATCTTATTGTGTCATTTCCTTTTTCACATTAATTATGATGGACATATAGGCACACTACGCCAAAAACAGTATCAGAAGACTATTGATTAACTCTTGTTTATGGAAACACAGTAGTTAAAAAAATAGACTACTGTGAGTTTAATTGGCTACAGAACGATATTCTAGTTGCTATGCTTTAAAATTATTTTTAAAGTTTCGAGAAACGGTAATCTATCATTAGTTGTCTGTGTTACTTCAAAATACAGTTTTTGTTACAACAGTTGTCAATAACAAGTTAAGAATACTCTATTTAAACAATAGTCTGGTTTTTTAGTCTAGAACTGTTTTTAAACTTATTAGAAACAATTATCTATTGCTTGTTGTTTGTTACATATAGTTTTTTTGCCACTGTTATTTATAATAGGAATAGAAGACTCTTTTGTAACAGTAGTCTATGAATTAAGGGTAGAACTGTTTTTGAAGTTGTGAGAAACGGTAATCTATTATTAGTAGTCTGTTTCATCTAAAAATATAGTTTTTGTTGACACAGTTGTCAATAATTAGTTAAGACTAATATTTTTTAACAGCGGTGTGGTTTTTCAGTTTATAACTGTTTTTAAACTTATAAGAAATAGTAATATATTGTTAGTTGTATGTTTCATATGGCATTTTTACATAATTATATTGTTTATTATAAGAATAGAAGATTCCCATGCAACAGTAGTGTATTTATATAGCGTAGAACTGTTTTTGAAATTCATAGAAACCGTAATCCATTACAAGTTGTCAATAATAAATTAAGAATACCCTTTTTAAACAATAGTTAGATTATTAAGCCTAGAACTATTTTCAAAATTTTGAGAAACCGTAATGTATTACTAGTAGTGTGTGTCACACTGTTTTTTTCACAGTTATCTATAATAAGTAAAAAAAACTGTTTTTAAGAGAATTGTGTGTAATAAGCGTACAACTGCTTTTAAAGTCCTCAGAAATAGTAATCTAATACCAATTGTCTGTGAGATATGATTTTTTGGCAGAGTTGTTAATAATAAGTTAAGAATACTTATTTTAAACAGTAGTCTAGCTCTTAAGAGCCTAGAACTATTTTAAAAGTTTGGAGAAACGGTAATCTTTTTTACAATGAAAATGTATACGCTCTCTAACTTTAGTTTCATACTTTCAAGCAAAATTTATACAATAATCAAATAACCATTTTTAAAGGATTATAAACTGTGATCCCTTTTCCAGCTTTGTAGGACCCAATGCTGCTGTGTTTATATAATTATTAAGGGTTCTAGTAAAACCTTCAGCTCCAATAATGAACAACAGAGGAGATAAGGGATCACCTTGCTTCACTCCTCTCCTCATTTGAAAGTATCCTTTAGGCTGTTCATTGATCAGAACATAGATAAATGTCCCATACAGATTCCCCATTAGTAGACTTATGGCTTTCTTGGAGAAACCAATGGTAGAAAGACATTTTTCAAGGTAACTCCAAGATATCTTATCAAATGCTTTTTCCATGTCAAGTTTAATCATAATGTTTCTTCCTCTTACTTTATCTGTAATGTGATGGGCCATTGCATTAGCAATCAACACTTGTTCTTCAATTCCCTTGCCCTTCTGGAATCATGTCTACTCTTGTGAAATCGGCTTAGGTAGCAAAGTCCCCATTCTAGTGACTAGTATCCTTGTAATTACCTTACTCATAAAGGTAGAGAGGGAGATTGGTCTGTAGTCTACCACAATTGGGAAAAGTTTATTCTACACTTTTTATCAAGAGTAAAAACAATAACATCCTTTCGGTTCAAGTTTATGTAGACAATATTATTTTTGGTGCTACTAACGAATTTTTTTGCAAGAAATTTTCAATGCTAATGACTAGTGAGTTCGAGATGTCAATGATGGGAGACTTCACATTCTTTTTGGGCGTATAAGTAAAGAAAATGAGAGATGACAGCTTCATTTGCCAAACTAAGTATTGCAAGGAGTTGCTAAAGCGGTTCGAAATGGACAACGCCAAAGCCATGGAAACACCTATGAGTACATCAAACCTTCTTGACAAAGACAAGAAAGGTAAGAAAGTAGATGTCAAGAAGTATCGAGGTATGATCGGATCCCTTTTATATCTTACCGCTAGTAGGCCGGATATTATGTTTAACGTATGCCTTGCGCGAGGTATCAATCATGTCCGATGGAATCACACTTAATGGCGGTTAAACAGATCATGAAATATCTTGTTGGCACGACTAACGTTGGACTATTGTATGCAAAACGCTCCTCGTGTCATCTCGTTGGATACTCCAACTCAAACTTTTCTAGTTGCATGTATGACCGTAAAAGTACGAGTGGGATGTGTCACTTGCTTGGTAGTTATTTAGTTTCATGGTTTAGTCAGAAACAAGTCAATGTTGTGTTATTCACAACTGAAGCGGAATACATTGCCACCGGGAGTTGTGCTCAAATCCTTTGGATGAAGCAATAACTAGTGGATTATGACCTTAGTATCGATCACGTTCCTCTTCGATGTGATAATACTAGCGCCATAAGCTTGACGAAGAACCCCGTTCTTCACTCAAGGACGAAACACATTGACAATAGGCATCATTTCATAAGAGATCATGTTCTCAAAGGTGATGTCAAAATTAAGTTCGTTGAAACAAATAACCAATTAGCCGACATTTTCACAAAACCTTTCGAGAAAGAGTCGTTCTTGTAAAACTCCAACTCGCGTAACCCGAACCAAGGTGTTAACAAATTGAGTTCCTACGAAATTGATATTCACAACACAACAAATTTAGACGAATTATTCAAAAACATCCCGACACTTAGTTAATTACGAAAAGTTCGGCGTAAAGTCCATCATGTGCGGAAGCATTAAAATAACTTCCTACAACAATGTTTAAACCAAAGAATTAATCAACGCATTTATTAAATAATCAAAACAAGAATAATGACATCATCCACGGCGTCACATATCAACGTCCTCCGGGCTGGCCCTCTTTATCCAAATCCCTACCTGCGTGCAGTAAAAGAAAACAAAACTACACGCACAGCTAGAAGCTAAGTGAGAAAATATCTAACACTAGAATTAATTTCACAGATAGTATCGCATTTATATAATCAGCAACATCAGTGAACAATCAACATTTATTTTCAGATACAAAGATCCAACAGTTCCAATTCATTTATTTCCAAAGGGCTATTTCTGTCCCTACATCACTAAATCTAAATTCAACAGACTAGAGTTACCGACTCTCGAGCAAATCCCTCGAGGCCGATGCTTAGACAAACCCAAAGAGAATCTTCAATGGGCGGGTTGGAGTCTCTACCAAGAAATCCCTTGGTAGAACAGTGACTCCCGTACGTACGTTTTGAACCCTGAACCAGTGGATATGCAAACATGCTCCACAGGCCCGAACTTAACAACAGTCATATTGGTGACTAAACTATCCAATTCAGTTCAAATCCACCTAGGCATACTAGGTGACCAATTTTCAACATAATTCTCAAGTGATAACAAGCACTTAAATATTTCCTTCCATAAGCAGAACAACACACTCAGCGGCCTATCGAAAGAATCATTTCTCACTGATTGCCGTCATGCTCAAATAACAAGATTAAATGCAACAATATTTAAATAACTTACCTGTGATGGAACTAGGGACTAAGGACTTATCCTGAGGCCCACTGCACCCGCCGGAACAGTACCAATTACCACCGGATCAGCCCGACAACCCGCCGAACAAACTTGGCGGCCCAAAAATCAACCAAAGAAACCCTCCCGGCGGCTGCTCACCGCCCAGAAGCCCTACCACCACCTTGGGCAGCCGGCCCAAACAGCCCAAAACCTCCCCGGCAGCTTACAACCGGCCCGACAGTTGCCCAACCGGACAAATCCATCAAATTGAACCCCAAATCAATCCAATTACAACTATTCGAACTCAAATCAACCAAACCACATTCAAATTGACCTAATTGAAACCCGGACAGACCCAATTAAACCCATTCGAACCCAATCGCACAAGAAGCCACCCAATTGGACCCGAATTGTCCCAATTGAACCAATTGGGTCCAAATTGGACCCGCCTGGTCTGTCCAGCACGCTACCCACAGCCACCGCCGACCAACCACCGGTTGGTCGCTGGAAAAACAGCCCCAAATCCCCAAATTCAATTCCCCGATCAATTCAACACAAAATCAACCAAGAATCTCACAATTGAATGCAAGAATTATACAAACAAGATCCTAATCTACGAATTAACGCTAACGGAAGATATTTGGACAACGAATCACCTCGAATTGAAGAATTGAAATCGGATTCGAAGGGAAGGAGGAGTTTGCCGCTGCAACCCCCTAGTGCGGCCGGAGCAGCTGCGCGACAGGGAAGAGGGGGGAAACGGCGATGGCGATGGCGGAGGCGGCGTTCCGGGCGGACTCGGCGGTTTGCTGGGGTTGCTGGTTGACGTCGACGAAACAGACGCAGGGCAGAGGAGAGGAACAACAAAACGAACGGGAGAGAGAAAGAGTCACGGCTGTCTATCTGGTAACTTCTGGGTAAGTGAGAGGTCTGAACCATTAAGTGCTGAACCAGTAAGAGGTCTGAACCATTAAGAGCTAGTATATTGTTTAACTATTCAGAGGCAAATGTCTGATCAATTCAGATAAGAGCTCTTAACCATTCAGACTCTGTATAATACTTAACCATTCAGAGGCAAATCTCTTAACCATTCAGACATCTGAACCATTAAGAGGCTGAAACAAACAGTCTGAACCATTAAGTGCTGAATCATTCAGACATCTGAACCATTAAGAGGCTGAAACAAACAGCCACTTAGTCTAGTAACCCCCTTCCTATTTAATACTCCCTCGGTCCCTGTATTGTTCAACTTTTGGAATTGTTTATCTAAGCACTTTGACTAATCAAATTCTCTCAATGTGTAAGCCTAAATATAGTCATGTGTGATCTTGTTTGATTTGTCTTAATATATAGATTATTAATATATAATTTTTATAATTTTTTAATATACAAATTACAAGATAAAATGGATTAAAGAAGTGCATTGGATTGTGTGTAAAATGAAAATGGACAAATACAGGGGGACGGAGGGAGTATAAAATTGAATAGGTTTTAGAGTCCATTTTACATTTTCCAACCAGTTAGGATATATTTAAGCCCAATTACCACATTTGGGAGTCGTATCTTGGGCCTAGTAAGTCCGATTCTCAATCTGTTTGCGCGGTCAGGTTCAGAACAGTGAGCCCTACAACGTAGGTCAACTCCCACATTAGATATGCAAATTAGAAAATAAATCTTCATATTGACCAACCCATTAATTAATTAATTATATAAATTAATTAAAAATACTAAGGTAGGTTTCGGGGCGTTACAGTTCTTCTGCATTCGAAGTGAACTGAGAATTCTCGAATCCACGATGATCTAAGTTATGCATTTTATTTTGTTAAATGCTTACTAACTTGAGTGTCAGAAAATTTTTGTATTTTCTACAAGTACCCCACTCATCAAGTACAAAAATCAGGGGGAACCATGCAAACAAGAATGTTAAGGGAGCAACATCGGTGTTCCAACAGCGCTATTTTGCACCCAACCCCAATTCTGAAAACTAAGCAACATCGATGTTAAGTATCCAACATCGGTGTTACATGGAGTTCTCTTTTTGCATTTATTTCCAGTAACACTCCCAACAACGTTGTTCACTTCATAACATTGTTGTTTCCATCTTTCACATTTTTTAAACTTTTCGCATAACAACGATGTTGAGGGTCCAACATCGATGTTACAAGGATTTCATGGGATTCACTTTCTGTTCAGAAACTTTTTAAACATCGCTGTTGAATCTCAAACATCGTTGTTATTCATTTCAACATTTTTACAGCTTATCGCACAACAGCGATGTTCAACAATGAACATTGATGTTCCAACAGCGATGTAACCTAGTGAACATCGCTGTTCTGCGCATAATTTTCAACAAATAAATCTGTTGGACATAGCTTTTAATTTTCCAATAGCTATATTTTTGAATTATCAACGGCTCAAACACTCCATCTCTATATATTTACACCCCATTTATCAAATTTTACTCACACACTCTCACTTCTTTTGCATCTATAGGCAATACTCATAAAGATTCTCCTCTCTTTTCAAAATCTCTGCAAAATGGCTAAAGACAAGGAAACGCCGCTACCACTGGGAAATCCAAGTCGAAATCTAGAGCACGAATGAGCATCCCCGATGACTGCTTCCACTACCAAGACGGGTCGTTCCTATGGTTCAACACCGAGGAGGAAGTCACCCGGTTCCTCACATATTTCGCCAAACGGGCAGTGGCACCACCAAAGACCCTCCTAGAAAGCCTCCCGGAAAAGCTAGGTTACGACACCCTTGATGCACATCTGCACCAATCCGCACTTTGGCCTTTTGTCTCCAAGTCCCAGAGGACCTACAATCCGGCGCTGGTTCGAGCCTTCTACCTGAACCTCCGGCGTGACGGAGATGTCATCTACAGCATGGTCAAGAACACGCCCATTGAGCTCACCGTCTCAAGGCAGTGACATCTCCAATTACGGCGGAGAAGACTGGGTCATCAACAATGAAGGGTTGGTTATCATCGAACTTGGCATCACTCAACTCATTCGCCATGCATGTGCCACCCTCTCCTCCATTGTTGACTCCCTCAACCAGTTGACTCTCATGGTCGACAAGATGGGTGGCTACCTCGAACCGATTGACGAGGCGGTTCAACGCCAAGGGTATGCTATGAACGCATACTTCCAACTCGTGAACTACGTCACTATACCAAGCCACATTCCTTGGCCAAGTGTACAATGAAGATGAGGAAGGGGACGCCTCCTACACTCTTTCAAGCTACCCGGACGAGGATGAGTTCGAGGATGTGATTGATGGCGATCCCATGGAAGTCGAAGATGATGAGGTAAAGACGGCGAAGAAGAGGATGAAGACAAGGACTAGGCCACCGCTCCTAGAATTTCTATCCATTCTTTTTACGTTTATCTCTTTGTTTTTTTGTTATGATTATTGTAATGCTTCCGTTGTACTCACATTTCCCTGAAAATTTTAATCAAATCTAAGTTTGAAAATCTTTTTGCTAATGTCAAAAGGGGGAAGATAAGGGCTATACATACTTTAAGGGGGGACGTTTCTAAAACGTGTTTTAAGACGACATTTTTAAGGCATAAATTAAGAAGGAAATTTCCCAAACATTTTCAAACTTCAAACCATCCTCCTTATGCATGTCCCTGTCTTGTTTGACATTATCAAAAGGGAGAAATTGTTGGAACACGTGTTTACGCCAATGTCATACTAAAGTCGTGTTCGTTTTTGACAGGTTTTGATAATGCCAAACTACCGTGAATATGAGAAGACATTGAACAAACTAAATTCTAAGAACATGGCATGTTGATCAAGTAAAAACAAGAACGAAGACAGAGAGTTAGAAAATAGTTGAGTCGGTCTTTATGTGATCAAGACCGGCATTAACTTTGCTAACCTTGCTCTCTAGGTTAAATTCATAAAAATAATATTCATGCATCATTAAAACCCTTTTAATAAAGATTTCATAAGTCCAAAACAGTTGGCATTCGTTCAGACCAAAAACCACTCGGATTTCAGAAACCAGCGTTCACCTTTCGGTTAACAGCGTTGGTCTGTGGCATCCAAACCAACCAAGTAGTTTTTAACTTTTTATGATTGGTTTTTACTTCTGGGCATATTTAAGTAATTCTCTAAGAAAAACATGTTAAAAATCACCTTTCGTTTTTGGTCTTTTAGTAAAAACCATGTGAAAATGACATAAACTTGGCTAGCCGTGGTTTTTACCTTAATGACGTGGTTTCTAAGATATTTCACTTGCTTTCTTATTCAAATAAATTAAATAAGTGTTTTCAACACTTGGTTTTTAAATTGGAGAAAGTTGTGAAATTTTGGTATATGATTTAAAGTTTACACAAAATGAAATAATGCTGGAATTCGTAAATTCATGAAATTTTCTCTCCAATATGGAGTATGTGAGAAATCTCTATCTTGCAAAATAATCACAACTTTACACGCTATTTCAAAAATAATACGGTGATGCATAATAATCTCAACTTTACTAGAATTTAAGAGTTTTTGCTCGCTGATAAGATGCTAACTAATGGTGTAAATTATCGACTAGTATATCATTTTTAGCCAGGCAAAACGATAAACTAGTCTAAAAAATACACAAAAATATAAACAAAGGAATTTTGACGTAGAAACCCAAATCGGGAAAAAACCACGGGCCTTTTTTGGTGGTACCTTACCAAAGGGGTTTTTTATTAATATCGGGGGCTGTACACGGTACATGATTTGGACTATGAAGCCATTAATGGAGCATTTGAGCTCTACTTAAAGTAGAAGCAAATATACATACTAAAGAGAGAGATAAATATGCAGGAGGGAGAGTGGAATTTGGCCTCCTAACTTTGAGGGCAAACCCTCTTTTTATAGGGGAGGAGGGGAAGCATATTCGTGGAATATTCTCTTATTCCTCCCTTTTATTAAACAGGCCCGATTTGACTGTTCTTCGTAAATAATTGGGAAATGTGGGCCGAGCCACGTATTATTTCCCATCAAGAAGTCCTCCACTTTTTTAAGTTGTTAGAATCATCAACTTAAAAAAGTAAACAAGTCATCCGAGTGATATTTTCATTCTTTGTACTTTGGATTCTTGACCAGTTGATATTATTGCTAGTCCTCCGAGTCTTCATTAATTCTCTAATTTCTTGAATCAGAAGTTTTTCGTGCAAAAAAATAATATGTACAACATTTTTTTTGACCGGCCTATGCCGTGCTCAAAAAATTATTATCTTTACCGAGGAGCTTGGTGTTAGGGTGATTAAAATTTGCGTGAATAATTATCGTAACAAGAGCGATGTCAGTTTGATTAAGCAACAATGCTTCGAATAGTTATACGACATCGGAGTTAGTACGATGAAGTGACGGTGCCTCAAATAGTTATTTCGTCGAGATCGATGTTAGTATGAATAAGTAATCGATGAAGTAGCTTTGTTGAAGATTAGTGTTAGCTCGGCTGACTGATGTAAATATCTTCATGTCTCGCGGAGAACATCTTCGATAAAAGTGCCTCAGATAGAGGGCTTAAAATGAATCGGGCGTCCCCGATATGAGCTCAACTCACTTTTTTGCTGAAACTGATGTGCAACCGGTGTACCCAATTCGATTGGGCTCAGGCTCATTGGAAAATATGTGCAAGACCGGTGTGAGACCAGTGTACCAGTTTGACTGGGTCACATATCTTCTTTATTATACTGAGCAAGACCGGTGTAGTAACCAGCGTGCCAGGCAAGTGTCTCAGTCTTCCTCTCAAAAAATGCTGCTGGCCGGGCCAGATCAACATTGGAGAATTAACCATGTCAGATGGTTTCGAGCCCTCTCCAAGGCCCAAAATGCACCCTTTTTCCAGGGCCCCCTCTTCTGGGTGATTAAGTCTTTTAATGGCCCTTTGATGTTTACTATCCCGGGAAAGCCTTAGCTCACCCTCCCGTTCAAGTCTTCCCTGAGAAGGGGGAATCCGATCCGGTCGGAGTAGGATGCATTGCGGTGAATGATCCTTTTCTATTTCTTTTAATGGGCATCTTTTAGTTTCCAATCAGTTTGTCGGTTTCGGCTGACTCCCCGATACCGGTCAAACTTCATGAGTCCGTGTAAGTACGGTTCGAACCCTCTTCCATGTCTAGCCCTCTTGCAGGCATACCCCTTATATGGGGCCCCTCTTCCGGGTTTATCTTTTTTATTTAATACTGAGAAAGACTGGTGTAGTAACCAGCGTACCAGGTCTGGGCCTTTGTCTTAGTCTTCCTTTTGAAAATCTTCAAAATGCATGCATCTTCCGCCATCACATATTTACATTGGACTTCTCCACTTGTGGGGCCATTCATTATCAGTCCCACTTGTCCTTGATTATTGATAGAGAGCCCATGCACTTTTTATCTCCTTTTTTTAATCTGCCAATATACTCCACATGGAGTAATTGATAATCAGGGGTGCCTTTCTTATCTTCACATGTTGCACAGCTCTTTTGTCTGAATATTTTGTTCGAAACACTCCAAACACAAAAAGGATTATCATCTCCTCCACTTGCTCTCTAGGGCCCATCATGTGCACACACTCAATAATTCCCACGGTGTAATTTGTGAGTGTATTATGTGGACCCATGACATCCATTCATCAAATATAAAAAAAAATTGGATCATAGCTTTCTCTTTCTCCTTCGATGCAGCTTACTCTGTCTATTTCTTTTTTTTTCGCCAGTTCACCGTTGTCATCCTCCTCCTTGGGAGGAATCAAGGGGGGTATAGATATGTAGACACCCCAACGACGGCAGACCCGGACGGATTGAAATCCTAGAACCAGCGGCGTTGGATGAAGAAACGGCCTTCCAGGCACCAATCCGATCAGTGGCACCTGCGCCGGTTAGCTCTCGGGGTGGCGATGTCAGAATTCACTGGTTATAATATTGTGGCAGCAATCAGCAATCCTCTTCTTCCTCTTCTACTTGTCAACCACTACCCAAGCCTACAAATTTTAACAGTGGTGGTGGATTTCATTTCAGAGTCTCTGATTCCACAGCATAGTGACTCGCGACTTTGGCAGTGATGGAACTAAAAAAGAGCCTCCAAGTAACGGTGGTGCAATTCGGCAGTGACGGGAATGGTGACAAATCTCAATAGTGGCGTCGGTGATGGATTCCTGTGGCAGCAGCATAAGTCTTCGGCGGTGAACTTTGGAGAGGACAAGGCAACCTTTTAAGAGAGCTGTGGCTGGCGCTAAGTTTGACTAGGCCGAAATCGGGGAGGCTATATTTGTTGACGGTGAAGAAGTAACTGACGAGTGGGTCAGAGATGTCGGTGCGTTAGGAGTCGTCGATGTTCTGTTGTACCATGGCGGTGCCGGTGTAGATGGTATCCTTCACGCCGTTACCGGCGGAGGAGGAGGATTGGTCGCTGTCTTCCTCTGGGGAAGAAAATGGCACGGTGAGAACGGAGAGAAGATCCTCTGCTTCGAGGCATAAGATGTGGCCTCCCGTCTTTTGCTCCTTGAAGATTGTGCGACGTGTCTTAGTCAATCCGGAATGAGTCTCTGACGTACCTGGACCAGAACCTGCCCAAAATGTTGCCGCCGCCGTAGCCCAACTGCTCGAGGAGTTGCTGTTGTGATCGTTGGCTACCTTCCTCCTTCTCTTTCTCTTCCTTCCCTGTTTCTAGCAGAGGCGGTTCATTTCCTCTTCTTTTGACTGCTTCTCCTCTTTTTGTTGAGCAAAATGAAAGAAGGGAGCAAAATGGCAATTTTCTCGGGTCCCACGGTCGGCGCCAAAAATGATGGTGTAAATTATCGACCAGTATATCATTTTTAGCCGGGCAAAAACGATAAACTAATCTAAAAAATACACCAAAATATAAACACAGGAATTTTGACGTGGAAACCTAAATCGGGAGAAAACCACGGGCCTTTTTTGGCGGTACCTTGCCAACGAGGGATTTTTATTAATATCGGGAACTGTACATGGTACATGATTTGGACTAGGAAGCCATTAATGGAGCATTTGAGCTCTTGAAGTAGAAGAAAATATACATACTAAAGAGAGAGATAAATATGCAGGAGGAAGAGTGGAATTTGGCCTCCTAACTTTGAGGGCAAACCCTCTTTTTATAGGGGAGAAGGGGAAGAATATTCGTGGAATATTCTCTTATCCCTCCATATTATTAAATAATTGGGAAATGTGAGCCGAGCCACGTATTATTTGCCATCACTAACGAATGGTTAACGGATGCTTGTTTTGCAAAACAAAATAAAAGCAAAACAGATTAGTTTTGATGATTTTTTTAAATATTTGTTTTTTTCAATTTTTGTTTTAGTACGCAAAAGAGATCTTTTATGTTAACCAGTCATTAGCTATATATCTAAAAATTTACAAATTGCAAATTTTAGTAAAAATTAGAATTATGTACAGTATCTCAATAAAAGATGAAATTATTTTAAAAACTTCATCTTCTTTCTTCATTTTCTCACGAAAAATTTTAGAATCACAAATATATAGTTCACAAAGTTAACAAACTTGTCTTTTGTGACTCCAGCATTACCCTTGTATCACTTTATTCAAGGTCAGGGATCAATAAACAAATCAATGTGTTGCTTCAACTTTGCGGCGCCCTTTGACACGCGGTTGCAGAGGAATGCTTGCTTCCAGGTTTCTCCTCAGGTACGTGTGACATCACCTCCATTTTCTTATCCAGTGTAATTTTGCAAACCCTAGTTTTAGTCCATTCGAAAAATTACAAAGGAAAATTGAAAAGTGTAGATACAGAATATAAATTTTAGCCATGATTCCGAGTTCAATTTTCTTATCAGAGCCAATCTTGCTTTGCTAGTGGGCAAGACTTGCGTACGATCAAGGCACCTACCATTTTTACTGGTATGTTAATTTCTCCGTCATGCATTGTAGCGATATCTACGGTCAAGAGCGATTCCAGCTATAGTTTCTGTTATACACTTCATGTTTTTCATGGAAAAGAGGATACATTGGTCCCGTTTGGCAACATCTTCCGTTTTTAGCTTTAATATTTTAAAAAAACTAATAAATTGTTTAGTTTTAGCATTTTCAAAGTTAATCCAGACGATTAAAAAATTATCCAAATCACTAACAGTACACTAATTGAAAACCTTGTTCTCTAATAAGGCCATTGTAATTCACCAATATATAGTACTTCCTCTTGGCAATTTGTTGTGCTTGTTTTACATTTTTATTCAACCTAATTTATTCAGCCTCTTTTCATTTACAGAGTATTTTCTTATAGGTTTCCCTATAGTGTGCTAGATTGCACCCATTATGGTGCATTTAATACCCTCTTTCATTGTGTCTTTTAATTGAAGTATACTACCAATGAACCCAATATATTTGGAAGTATACTACCAAAAGTTGTCATTCAATATATTGGACTAATTACATTAATTAAAGTATACTACTATAAAAATAAAAGAAAAGTTACTCACTCCATTTTGAAAGTGGTCGCTTTTAGTTTTTCATGTTTTACTTTGACTATCTATGTACCAAATTGTAGAATGAGTTAAAATATAAAAATTAGACCCAAATATTTGTATTGGAAAATACTACAAAGTATATTATTTAAAAAATATTGTTCGGTAATATAATTTAAGAGATATTTTTGGTCAGATGTTCTGCGCGAAGTGTAAAATGAATAGTTAAAAAAGAATGGAGGAAGTAAAACACCACATTACCACAACAATCTATGACCAAAAATATAAATAAAAACTTTCCGAATGTCAGCCTGCACGCAACATAATTTATCAGAAAAACTGATCAAAGTTTTACAATTTGTCAATACAAGATACCACAACAATAAACATGTGAACAATTGATAGCAACATCTTAACTTTTGTAGAAATAACTTTATTGATACTCTCCGATCTTCCGGTTGTAGACTTGTAGTCATTCCTCCAAAATAATGATGACGGAGATAACCGGGCACCCAATATATCATATAAACCACACACATGTTCGTTGGTGTGCGCCGATGTTGTACATACCTATGAGCAATGACCGTTGGTTTTTTTTATAGTGTGGTAGATTGTACCCATTAAGGTGCATTTAATACTCTCTTTTACTGTGTCTTTTAATTGAAGTATTCTACCAATAAACATATATATTTGGAAGTATACAACCAAAAGTTGTCATTTAATATATTGGGCTAATTACATTAATTGAAGTATACTACCAAAAAAGAAAATAAAAGTTACTCGGTTACTCCATTTTGAAAGTGGCCGCTTTAGTTTTTCTTGTTTTAATTTGACCGTCTATGTACCAAATTGTAGAATGAGTTAAAATATAAAAATTATACCCAAATATTTGTATTGCAAAATACTTTTAATACAGAGTATATTATTTTAAAAATATTGTTCGGTAATATAATTTAAGAGATAATTTTTGCTCAGATGTTCTGCACGGAGTGGAAAATGAATAGTTAAAAAAAGAATGGAGGGAGTAAAACACCACATTACCGCAATAATTTATAACCAAAAATATAAAACTTATCGAATATCAGTCCTGCAGCAACATAATTTATCAGAAAACAGATCAAAGTTTCATAATTTGTCAATACAAGATACAACAATAAGCATATGAACAATTGATAGCAACATCTAAAATTTCTTAAAAATAACTTGATTGATACTCTCCGATCCTCCGCTTGTAGTCATTTCTCCAAAATAGCGATGAGGGAGATAACCGGGCTCCCAATATCTCATATAAACCACACACATGTTCGTTGGTGTGCGCCGATGTTGTACTTACCTATTAGCAATGACCGTTGTACCTCAAATTCTTCAAAAGTGTCTAACTTGTTTAACCCATAAAAATCAGAAAACCATTTTGCGTATAGATCGCAGAGAGTAGAACTGAACCAACCACTAAATTTAGCAGTAATGAGCCAAATACATCATGCATGCTTTGTAGTTTGCATCTCTTTCAATATAGCTTGGGTCATCCATGGATCTTGATCCATTAAAATCGTTTAAGGAGCTTCACCAGTCTCTCCTCTTAGTTCATTTTGCATTCCCATTTTCTTCTCCTGCCACTTTTCTTTTCTTTTCCTCTCTAACCAAACAAGAAAAATTGTTTTCCATCTCATTTTCTTTTTGTTTTTTCCATTTCAAATTCCAAAAACTAAACATAGTGTAAAAGCATAGTGAAAGCTGGAATTTTTACCTTTGAAATCCTTACAAAACTGCAATAGTTCCATAATATCATACGCACTATCTCTTCTACAAACTTTACTCAAAAATTTGTAAATCTCCTTAGCTAGAAAGGGAAGATGAACATGTTTAACAACCCATTCAAGTTCCATGACACGTATAATGTGCCTAACAGAAAGACCACCTTCTTTGTACAACAAGATACATTCTTCATCCTCCTTATCCATAGTGTGATTTATAGGATGAAAGCTAACTTCTTCCACAGACAAAAGTGTGGTTATGATCCTCTTCAAATGGTACTACTTGCCACTATAGAAAAATTCAAATGATTTCTACACAATCAGCATGTGAGCTTTGCACTCACATTTAGTTGATGCTCTATTCCTATGTTCTTTGGTTAAATCAACTATTTTTTCTCATGGCCTTCCAGGACAGCTACACACAAAATCACACCATTTTCATTCTCTTTGTGCATTGAGAACAAATATGCTCTTTCAACATGAGTACCCATCTTTTTTGCATGCTTTTTATTAAAGACAAAAGCCTCTTCCTCGCCGATAAAACACTGACCAATAAATGGCGTGAAATCATCTTCCATAAACTCTTCTTGAATTGCATTATATCAAGGTCACCCTAAAAAGAGTATTCAACTTCAACAATAGTATTTTACCTATTACCAAATTAAACACAAATATAACAAAATTCCTCCATAAAGCTTAACTATAATATTACAAGAAAGAAGCTACTCACTAGAAAATTAATGAGTGATGAATGAAAACAAGCAGTAGAAAAACAGGTGTGCAACTCATTTTTTTAAATACAGTAGAAATACAGTAGCCACTCACTTTTTTTTTCAGTTTGTCAAACAGTAGGTGTGAAACATAATATCAGAATGAATTCTTTAAGTTGGATAGATCTAACAACGACAACCCAGTGGGATCCCCCGAGATTAGGGTTTGGGGAGGGTGTGTGCACGCCGACCTTGCCCATACTCGAAAGTAGAGATCTTGTTTCAAGAGACTCCTGGCTCAAGCAGCACAAATAATATAAGATGACAAAAGACACATAGATCTAATTGTTCTTAATTCTCAAATACAACAAATCATACAACGTGAAAAACGAAACAAAGAGAAGAAAAGAGATATCTGTACAAGAGGAAGATGATGTTGAACAATTTCTATACAGGCTTCTTACCGGTGTAGGAGGCCGTGACTACTTGGAGACCTGTTAGCTGGAAATAAGAGTAGATATAGGGTGTGTTTGAATGGGGGTGAAGTATTTTTCCAGAAAATTTCCATTCTATTCTCTTGTGTTTGATAAGGGCGGAATTCATTTTCTCTTTCTCACTCGTTCTTATAGAATATAACTATAATGAAAATTTTCTGGGAAAATTGAATGAAAAATTTCTTGGAAAATATTTTTCCCCCATTCAAACACACCTATGGTTGTTTTGGGAAAAGTTCTCATAGAAGAATGAAGGATAGCGTGGATTAATTAAGGTTATTGAGCATCCAAGTAGTAACCATGGTTTTGGCAGTATACTTTAATTCAGACGCAAGAAAAGAGGGTGTTAAATGCACGTCAATGCGCACAACATTGCACTCTTCAGGAAAACTGTTTATTCATCCCCTCTATGAACCTTAGCCTTTCACTTTATTATTAATCATTCCCATTCAAAGTGACACACCAAATTGCGATGGAGGGAGTAGGTCAGCATAGGAATATTTTGATGCCTTTTGTTTACTAAAATACTAAAAGAGAGTTGTGCCACATGATAATCTGATTCTTGCTAATATGGGACACTGTAGGGATGCTCTTATCACTCTGGTTTCAAGTATAATTCTGAGATGGACTTGAAAGAAAATTTGCTGGCTTCTAAGGTGCAGGAGAAGCAGAAAGTAGTAACTCAAGTATGGAGACCAGTCTCGACTCTGTCAACTTCTTGTGAGGGTGAAGGTTCTGACTTCTTCATATGTTGGCCTCTGAGAGCTGACTTCATATGCATATATGGTTACCTTTGAGATCCCAATATTGTGTGAACACTATTGTTTTGAATTATGATCATCATCACCTTAATCCCAACTAGTTGAAGTTGGCGGTGTCACTTCATCATGTTAATAAATATTCAAAATTGTCAAATTTCCATGGGCACACATGTAACCTAATATTGCTTATAATAATATTCACTATCCTTGTGTTCTGCATTACTGTTTGACAAAAATTGACAATTGCATGATGTTGGCAAACTGAATATAATTGGATACTTGTGGAATCAATGCTGAAAGATACTAGCTTCCATGTGGAAATTCTTCACGTTTTGATCACGATAGCAGAGGTAAAGTGGCAGGAGGACATCATACCTTCTTTTCCCATCTCTCAGGTATAATTTCTGAGGGTGGTGATGCTAAAGCAGCTGACTCAAATTTGTGCCCAAACACATTTTATACTTGTACTGAAGGAAGTAATGCTACAGGAGATACACCACCTGTTGATGAGAAACAAATGTCAGTTGCTGAGAAGCATTCAATTTCAATACAGGTAGAGTTTTCATTAAACAGATGGCTTTGCAGTTGTTGCTGACACATAGATTACTGTTAAGTTTGTTATCAGGGGGCTACGCCATCCTGGATGTTGTTTATGATCCTCCCTTAAACTGTAATACTGGCCAAACTATTGGCATTAGCACATTTCTTTACTACAAATGTCACATTATGATCTTTATTCAACATACTCCACCCGTCCCACTATTTTTGTCCCATTTTACCTATTTTGTCTGTTCCCCTATTTTGGTCCCATACTCCCATGCTATATTTGGTCATATTTGTATCATTGTGTGGTTTACATTCATTCTCAATTCATCTTACTTTTTCTTACCTTTTAACATTAATATCAACCACACAATTTTATATTTCTTAATCTTCGTGTCACTTCTTCATGTCCCAAATATAGTGGGAGGGGGAGAGTATAAAGGTAGAAAAATGTTTTGACTCCGAAAGAACAATTAAGTGGGTCACTGCCAGCTTGTTGCTAGCTTGATATACGGAGTAGTTTGTATAGCTAAGATGCCTCAATCTGTGATATTTAGGTGTTCTGTGACATACTTGAATGCCAACTGATTATATGTTGTTATCTCCTTAATCCATGCACCAAATACATAGAGCACAATGATTTCTAGTTACAAGCAATGTCTTTGTTGTCTACATAAGTGCTGAGGTTCCACAAATATGTGTGTGTGTGTGAATTTATTAACATTTCAAAATAAAGTAAATCTTCTGCACTTGTATCCCCTCTAAGCAACTCTTTACTCATTATGTATGTGCAGACAGGGGCTGCTTTGATGCGTTTCATTAAAGGGAAAGGGTATTTTTCTGTGCAAATTTTCTTCATCCATTTAAAAACAAATTTTCCATTAGTGTTTGATAGTTTTTGAAACAGGGGAGTCACACAGAAAAAAATTGAGGAGGATCTTGGTGTTCAAATTTCTTTTTCTTCATCCCAAAAGGAAGATTCTCTTAGTAAGTTGCATGTTTCTGACTTTGTTACTTCCACTGGTTCTTTTTGTTTGTTTTTTTAAAATCAAATCAATCTATTCAGAAACTTACGTGCATCAATTCTGCCACTGTTTAGACCCCGTACATTCCTCCACAGAAAATCTCTTCCGACTTTATGTGTATGACATCCAATTGTCTATTTCATTTTCCATCGTTCGACTATAAGAAATATCCCAACTTTTCGTTACTTCTATGCAAGTGGAAAAATCATATGATGATTATGTACGGCAGGGCACCCAACTTCTCTTTTGCCGATGCATCTTTTTCATGAACTCTCTTGTTAATTAATTTTAGACGATTAAGTGATAGTTTGATATTATAAATGATCAAATCCAATGCAGTCACCCTCAGTGTTGGGAGATTAAGGCAGTGGTGATGATGCACATCTTTACTTTAACCTTTTTTTTTAAAGAGATTTTCCACACTTTGGATATTAATTTTCTTTTTCTGTGCTATTATCTACTCCATATTGGTGCCAAAGATCTTGTGGTCCAACGGCATGATCATGACTCTCTCATATGAGAGGTCACAGGTTCCATCCCCAGTGTGGGTAATAACTCTACATGCTTAACGGGTTGAGAATGCATGAAGAGATACTACATTATAATAGAGTTATTAGTGTTAAAAAAAAAGTATATACTCCGTATTTGTATTTCTACTCACCCTGTTCCTATTTATCTCTCTAAACTAACCAAATCCCACATTTTAAAACAATATATTGAGATGATAAATTAATTGATAAAATCTTTTAGTACTTCATCTGAAATGCCTCAGTAACTGACACTCAGTAATGTTCCTCTAGGGATAATATAAATTAAATAGTATATGAAGAGCAAATCAGAGTAAAGCTAGTTAATGTTCATAGATTTCTTAGATGGAAAAATAAAAAAGGACAAAGAAAAGGGATCAACCTAGACAAATATATAAGAACAAAGGGAATATGTTTCAATGTTTGACATGTTTATATTGGTTTCTTGTTTCAGCAATTGAAGGAAATTCCCCTGAAAGTGTTGCCGAAGCCTCAGAAAGAATCAAGATAATAATTGATGAGGTTTTACGAGCCTCTGAACTTTTACAGTTTTACTTTACCAGAAGAGAAAATAGTTGTGTTTTCTGTACAAGTATGCAGTTATGTTGGCGTCCATGAATTTGAACTCTTATTATTTACTTCGTTGTGCGGGGAAATTCCATTTGTTACTTCCCAGTGGGATAGAGGAAGTTTCTTTTTTTGAAAACGGTTATGTATTGGCTAAGACTGGTAAGGTTTGGGTATGCAAATTAGTCAAACGGTGCAGTTTTAGAAGGTTTTTTTTATCTCTCACTTTCTTCTGTTTTTCGTTCCATTTCAAAACCATATGCCCATTCCTTCAAACCAGAACCTCATCGAGTTGGGATTATACCGGTTTATTGTTGTGTGTGTGTATTGCCAATTTGCCATTCCTTTCACCACACTAATCAAACTTTTTTGTACCCCATACCTGTTTCCATACTGTGTAGTGTGTACAGTACCTTACCCATATCTATGCAACATAGCTGCATAGTGTACACCAAACCGCTGGGAAGGAAATTCCAAGTCCTGCTGAATAACGTTGATGTTCAGAGGTCTTACCCTGCTGGATCACACATCACATACATCACTGTTTTCTACAGGCACTTAATAGCACAGCTCTGGACTACTCCCACTTTGTGTCACTTCCCTTGTCCATACATGCTGATCTGGTAAATAAGCTCATTAACTTTCAAAGCTCAATTCTTGGAGCAACAGAAGTTAATGAAGAAGGGAATTCAGAAAGCAATTCAAATGGAGACACTTCAAGTGAGGAAGAGGGTATGAATATTAGTAAAACTCCAAAGGTTGTGGCAGAACCCAAGACTGAAAATGATGGAGAGCATGCTAAAGTTGATGTGCCTAAGATATCACTTGTGAGTTATGCGCCTAAAGTGTCATCAAAACTGTCAGGTATTACAATTCTTGCATGCTTCTGTAGCACAACTAAGCAATCCATGTTCATCAAACCTCAATGACTCATTGTTTCATTACTTGTTTCATTCTTGCATGCTCCTGAATGGCGACATGCACGTCGACTAGCGACTAGGGTAGACTAGGCGACTGGGCGAGTTAAGCGACGCCTAGGTGCGCCTAGGCAATGACTAGTCTGTGAAGAAGAAGCCTGCCTAGTCTGAACCAACCTAATTTGACCCAACCCGACCCAAATTTCATTAAACTTTAAAAATTACTTAATAAAACACAGCCTCCCTCGATCAGTTCAATCAGCACACTCGAAATCCAGTGAATTGACATTTAACTATTCCCAAATTGCGACATCTCCTTCATCGACATCTTCCAGAGTTCGCAGTTCCAAAATCAATTTTTTGGAATTGATTCTTCTTCATCTTCTAGTACTCACACGCTCTCTATCCATAAGTAACATCTCTCTATCTTTAATTATTTATCATTAAAGTATACTCTTAATTTGGTTTAATTTTCTTTAATTTGGTTCATTAGACTATTAAATTATATTATACTCTTAATTTTTCAGTTTTATTAATTTTTTAGTGACTTTATGTTCTACCTTTAAACATAATTTTATTTTGGTAATGATATTTTGTCATATAAATATATATAGTTATCTTGGGTGAATGAAGATATATATAATGTTAAAAATTTCAATACTAATTGTGATTTCTCAACTAGTCTACGACTAGTAGGCCGACTAGTCCACTAGTCTCCCCTTCACCAACTCGACTAGTCCACTAGTCTCCCATTCAAACATGGGATATTGATAATAGCTTTGAAAGGGTTCGAGTACATTTAAGTGCACCAATCACTTTATGCTTTGCTATTCTTGTTTGTCTTTATTGTCACTTAGTGATGTCATGCTCCATGATTTACTTGTAATGGAACACGACAACAAGTATCCCATCTTACTGCCGTAATGTGATGTTTTCCATGCACGTGAAATTGGAAATAATAAATATGATGATGCTAATTTTAGAATTTTCATTTCATTATTCATTGTGACATTTCTACTTTCAAGTGGAGGTAAGGTCTGCGTACCACACCCTCCGCAGACACTACTTTCTTGAGATTCTACTGGGTTTTTGTCGTTGTTTGTATTCCTTGTGACATTTGGCGTAAAGCAATGTCAGTATGCTTTTTGCATCAATTTATTTGTTACTTAATTCTATACAATTAAGTGACACTAAATTAATGCCACTGACCCCAAGTAGTTGGGGTTAAGGATGATGAAGCCACTTAGCAAAAGCAACAACAAGAACCCAATATAATCCTAATTACGTTGGGGTCAATGGGTCAAAATGTGTGCAATATTACCCTATAATAACCTAGATGTTTCTAGAGTCACATAGCAATAGTAACTCAAATATTGGTCATAATACTTGTTTAGGGATTCAAAAATCCACTTTCGTTAATCCAAGAATGCTACACCTTACTGTACTCATGCTGAAATTATGGAATAAGGCCAGAGTTGAAAAGGCTGTTGAGGTTTTGAAGGTAAGTTCTCTATAAGTAGCATTTGTGGAAATGCTGTTTCCGGCTCTCATTAGATGTATTTGTATCATCCTTTATGATTTCATATTTTATATTTCCAATTTTTCATCTTCAGAACGTTTCATCAAAAGTAATTGATGCCTTGGAGAACCGACCTATCTCTGTACGACTTAAGGGGTTGGTAAGGTGTCTTCCAATTGAAACTGCTTAATATGATTCTGTACCTCTGCAAACCTATGTATCACTTATTAGCCATGTCATGAAAACCTTATTCATACTGTTTCATTTTTCCCCATTCTAATTTTGCAATATGTGAAAATAAAATAAATACTTACTCATTTAACTCGATGCGTCCCTATCTTTAACCACTAGCAGGGTGCTTATCAGGACTTAATAATTCCTTTATTGAAACAAAAATTACATGTTGTTCCCTTGTAGAAGTGCATGAAAGGATCATTCGCCCGTGCTCGAGTTCTATACGCACCTGTAGAAGAAATCGGCGATGAAGGGCGGCTTTCACGTGCTTGTCGTATCCACAATTTACTCGCATATTTTACCGCCCCCCCCACCACCCCACTCACTCAACTGGTTTGGAAGGCTGATTCAAAACTGTTCACTGGATTGCCTATGTATTTTGTTATTTCCTAAGCTTTCTCAGAAGTAATCATTGATGCATTCCTTGAAGCTGGCCTTGTTCTTGAAAAGGATGCTCAACAAAAGTTGAAGGTTTCTATTTTACCCATCAGAATGTTTTTGCTGTTTTGCTAGACATGCTACGGAGTGCTTTCTAATTTTTTTTCCCGTCCATTAAAATGCAGTTGCATGTCACTGTAATGAACGCAAGACACACGACGAGAGGGTAATTATTTGGACTAAATATACTTCTGTTCCCTAAGGGTTTGTTTGGTTGGAGGGGACCTCACTTCATTTGGTTTACTACATTTTTAGGGAGGAGGAGCCAAAACATTTAATCCCCTCCACCCAGCATTTGGATGGGAGGGGTAGAACCGTAAAAATGTTTATAACCAAACGAGGGATCAGGGAATTGAAGGAATCACTTTCCCTTGCCTCCAACCAAACACACCCCTGAACATTCTAACGGTATGTTTGAACACACATTTCAGGAAGAAATGGCGTAAAGGGATTCTCCCATTCGATGGAACAGCCATATATGAACGCTATGGATCTGAAGAATGGGGAGATTATCTTATTGGTGAAGCCCATCTCTCACAGAGGTTTGTGTATGATGAAAATGGGTACTACCATTGCTGTGCTTCCATTCCATTTCCCGAAGGCTCTTAGGAATCTGCTCTTAGGAATCTGGGTTTGCATGGTTTCTAAGGTTATGATCATCCAATCTCATTGAACATCTTGTTAGATTCATTGGCATTACAAAATGTTGGTTTCAATGCATTCTTGATTATCT